TTCAAAGAGTCACCAGGGGATGTCTTCCTCCATTGGAGAACTGTTAGGTTGCTCTTCAATCTTGCTCGACTGAAGGCCAAGACCAGGATCAACATGGCAACTGTACGAGACTTTCTCTTCGCCGATGATGCTGCTCTTGTTGCTCACAGTGAATCAACCCTACAAAAAATGATGGACCGCCCATCATTGACTATCAACAGCATGCAAGGTCTTTAGCTTGGTCATCAGTGTTAAGAAAACAGCCATCCTTACCCAAGAAGGTGCAGAGCAAGGCCATATATGGCTGAACGACAAGGAACTTGAGACAGGGGATAAGCTCTGCCACCTGGGGTCTACCACCAGCTCTACTACATTATTTGATTATGAGATCAACATCAGGATAGGGAAAGCAGAAACAACTTTTGGAAGGCTGACAAAACGAGCTTGGGAAAACAAAAGATTAACCATCAAAACAAAGATCAAATATTTACGAAGCCAGTTTCCTCAGCACACTCCTTTATGGATCTGAAACTTGGACCTTGTACAGCAAACAAGAAAAGCGCCTCGGCATTTTCCATCTCAAATGCTGCCGTAAGGTCTTAGGCATTTCGTGGCGTGACAAGGTTGCAAATGTAGAAGTGTTGGCACGGGCAAACCTCCAGAACATGACAATTATCCTGTATTTAAAAAGATTGAGATGGCTGGGCCATGTCAAGAGAATGGACGACAACCGGATTCCGAAGCAACTTCTCTATGGAGAACTTGCCATGGGAAAAAAAAACCAAGAGGAAGACCAAAATTGAGGTACAAAGACACCTGCAAAAACAGCCTATCTAAGCTTGGAGAGGAATGTTAGCATCTGGGAAGAAATAGGACAGGAAAACATGGAGGAATATGTTAAAGGAAAGAACTATAATGCTAGAGAGCAGCCTTAGAAACAACCAGGCTTAGAAGCGCCTACGACGAAAGGAAAACAGAGGAAATACCAAGCTTCGATCTACACCAAAGACATGCAAGCACTGCGACAGAATCTGCGCTTCAAACATAGGAAGAATTAGCCGTGAAAGAAGCTGCATGAAGACAACCTTGAGACCATCTTAAGCTAAATTGACCGTCTGCATAGACGAAAAGAGCCATATATATATATATATATATATATATATATATATATATATATATATATATATATATATATATATATATATTTATATATACAGTAGCAATTTCGTTTCATTATCCATCTTATTGCAATATGACTGAACTCATTTCAGATAGCTTGGAAGTTTCCCTGAATGAAGGCCATCTAGATTATCATCAGCTTTGGAGTTTGGCAAGCTTTAAAAAAACTGTTGTGTTGAGGGGGGGGGGGGGCAGTCGTGGTGTAGCGGTTAGGCAGGAGACCCAAGTTCTATTCCCGTTTTGAGAGAAATTAAACATTTATCGCGTACCTCGATCTCTCTGCTAGTATGTTGTATCCCTCCCAACCTGGGTGGGCCTTGACAGGCAGGTCAGAAACCCTCCTTCTACATGATCTAAATTGTGTCAATGGGAGAGTAAAAACATCTACATTTTAAAAAAAATACAACTATACATAATTTTTATATGAGTGGAAGGTGTGGGTCTCTGTCAACTACTTTCTCTACAAAGAGGTTAATGGTGTGACCTCTCCCTGACCTCTGAAGAGGCATTAGAAGCAACGGCCGAAGAGAATACACGGATAACTATCACAAGATCATAACACTTGCCTTACACAAAACGACCGCTTTTTTCACAAATCTGGGGGTGTGGGGGGGAGGGAGGGAAGGCGTTTTTAACTACCTCTTTTTCAAAAAAAATCCGGGAAAGCATAAAGTCCTCGCCCCTCCCTTGTTGTGAGATGTGGAAATGTGTTTTTATAGACCCGCCCGGTTTTGCAGCAGCAACACAAGAAATGGCAATTACGTCTACAGCGAAGGACACGCTTCAGGAAGGAAGAAAGGCATGGACATGTCACCAGTAGGAACAATCCCCCATGGGTTTTAGAAAGGCGCGGTCAAGTGATTGCTGGACCCAGGGTTGTTCTTGTACTGCCAGTGTAAATGTCGTCCCACATCCTTGTCAGATAAGTCTCTTTCAACTGTAATGGACAGGGTTGTGTTTTGAGAGACCAGTGCCGCAAGAGAGCCCCTGTAGATTCACCGGAGATAAAAGTCCATATAAATATTTATGTACATCGAAGGTACATTAGCCCCGCCTTGCCCGTGTTCTTGATTTTTCGACCGTCTATTGTTGTAGGCGGTTCGGGCTCCGTCGTTGTGAAGCTGAACTTTAATTAATATTTACAGTTCACGAGTTTCCACGGCTGGTGTTTTAGGGGACGTTAAACGCTCGAAAAGAAAAGTAGTCATTTCGAATTTGAAACACACATTATATACTCATCTCTTCATTTACAGAATTTTAAAAAAATAATCCAGAAAGGATTAATTAAAGAGGTCAGTTCCTCCATGACTGCTTTTATTGGTAGTTGTTGAGCAGATCTGCGCGTTTATTTTCATTTGTTTACAGTTTACAACATTATTGTTTAACACAGTCCACAGTCTCTCACACTGTCTGTCTCTCTCTCTCTATCTTCTCTCTCTGTCTCTCTCTCTGTCTCTCTCTCTCTCTCTCTGTGAGTGTGTGTGCGTTTGTCTGTTTGTTTGTTAATCTTCCTCTTCCTCTCTGTTCTCTCTCCCCTCTGTTCTCATTCCCTCTCTCTCTCTCTCTCTCTCTCTCTCTCTCTCTCTCTCTCTCTCTCTCTCTCTCTCTCTTTCGAGATGAGAATCTCGCACCCTAGAACACTCTCCATTCTCCTTTTTTTTTTCTTTCTTTTTTTTTTTTTGCCGGTCAAGCGAAATCATTTCAGTGTATCTTATTCCATAAAAGTCAACGATCTGAAATACCGTCTATCAGTCAGCACGGTATAGCAGTGACCACCAACTGCATATTAAATCAGGTTTATAAAAGCACTGTCGGAATTTTAGACTGTTTGAATAGTCCCCATCATGATGAAAATGAGATCATATGCGTTTTCAATATATATTAATTTATATTTATATAAAATATTTATTCATGTATGTAAAAAAACCCCCACTTTATTATGCATTTTATTTATAATCAGTCACATATTTATGATATTTACATGTCTTTTTAATGTGTGTCTGTGCGCGCGTGTGCGTGCATGCATGTGTGTGCGTGCATGCATGTGTGTGTGAGTGTGTGTGTGTGTGTGTGTGTGTTTGTGTGTGTGTTTGTGTGTGTGTGTGTGTGCACGCGAGCGTGCGTGCAAGAAAGAAAGAGTGAGAGAAAGAGAGAGAGAGATCAAGTGAGGGTGTGACATATAGCCCCCCCCCCCTCCCACCCCCCACCCCCCACCCGCACAGAGGGAGAGGGAGGGAGGTGGGAAGGAAATCCCTCATTCATCCCCTCGTCTCCAAAGCACGCTCTTCGAGCATCAGATTCAGATGCCACCAAGACGTCAGAAAAGGCAACCGCTTCACTAGCTTAAAAATCAAATATTATGTGAACAAAAATAGAAAAACCTGACCACAAAAACAGAAAAAGGTTGGAAGGGGTTGTGTTTTTCAACACAAAATCAAGAAAGGGATAACAGAGAGAGACTGAAAAACAAAAAAATAAATGTTTTTACAGTAACTTTATTTTCTTCCAGCTTTGAAGAATCATAAAAATTGTAAACAAAATGCGTACATGTACATAATGTACTTCATTTAAATATGCAAATGTACATACATGTACTATGAATTCACATGACATTTTATCTGTCTGTCTGTCTGTCTGTCTCACACCCTCATGCAGACAGGTGCACACGTGCGCGCGTGCACACACACACACACCCACTACTGTCACACACACACACACACACTACTGTCACACACACACACACGAGCATGAACATTCACATATTTTATTATTTTGATCTCTCTCTCTCTCTCTTTCTCTCTCTCTCTCTCTCTCTCATTCCTCTCTCTCTCTCTCTCTCTCATCCCTCTCCCTCCCACCTCAAACTCTGTTTTCATTTTATTCTGCACACGAGACAACAAAGCAGAGAAATCAAGTAGAAAAGGAGATTCTGAATCTGCCAGTGAACAGCCAAACTAAAAGTGATCATCGCCTCTACAAATTAAAATTCAAAACAATCAATTGTTCCTTTTTATATATATACATGTGAGTTAGCGTGGTGAAATCAGGTGCTCGTCAAAATAATGAAAGAAAAGGAACCGGCATACTTTTAGCCAAGGGCAATTTTTTTTCTAATTTTCTTCCTTTTTATTTTTAACTCAACACCTTTTATATTCATTTAAAAACCCGATTTCCTGTGGATTTTACAGAAAAACATTGATTAAAGCCACAAAAAGTGTAAATTTTCAGTTTCCAAGACTCTCAGGCTATGGAAGTTACCAAACTATGGAAGGCATTTTATCGATAATTTTACCTATGAAACCAGGCAACCGAGACATCTTTCAATCACAAATATTTCAACTTCTATTCAAGATAGAGGGATATTTTTTTCACTGAAAGGAAGGCAAATGAACAGACTTTAAGAAGATACCAATAACCTCTTATGTCCAAAAATTGACGAGCGCCTGATTCCACCACGTCGCGACACATCTGGAGACACTTCCAACACTACAAACTCTTTGTGTGAAGTTGGGATTTTGAGAAATTGAGAAGTAACTTGAAAAAGCAGATCAAAGAGTGAATCAAACCTTTTCATGCAACAACTAAACATTCTTTCAATGGTCAGCATTGATGCTGTTTAGTTTTAGTTTTAGTAGAGGTTTTACGGCACTCGCAACTGCATAAGGTCATATGAGCGCCAAGGGGTGGATGTCAACAGAGAAGTCTTTACAGGGAATCAGGCTTACTCTGCTCACCTCTCTAGCTTCAGCAGCACAAAGTCTGCTTCGACTATCAAGGCACCCCGGAAATAGCGAGTCACAAGAGTGTGACAAACATACAAAAGAAGTAGAGGAAAATGACGATAGTAAGGATTAAGAAAGAAAGAGCAGCAGTTCCCTGTTGTAGTTCAGGCACAGTTATGAGCATGACATGCTCCGGCAGCAAAAATTAAGTCAGCTTTTACTGAATCGTGACAGAATCTTTTTTCCTGACCTGCAATTTACAGTGCTCTCATGGAGTATTAATAAATCAATTCTCTTCATTCTCAACACTTTGCTTCCTATTCTCCCTACTGGTGACTCATGACATTCACATGAATGTTACTACGAACAAAGAGTTTGGAGTAACACAGAATTTAAGTGCTGATGTTTCGGCAGATATGACAGTGGGAAAAAAAGAAAATGTCTGGCGAATGCACAAAAATGTATCACTTGATCAGGCTACCACCTGGGAAAAAAACAGAAACTCCGACAAACGAATGAGCAATACACTGAGGGGAAACAGCTGTCAGATAATGTTGACTGTCAGAGGGCTGAGGGTGGGATAGAGTTTGTCGAGTACATTAAAGCCATGAGCGCAGCGGTTCCGTCCTTGCCGGTCACCCATCATGTGGTGCAGCACTGCCTGGTAGTACAGCGTGTCCTTCTCGTAGCGATGAGCTTCCACGTTGTGAAACAGAGAGCTGGCCGTCGACAGAATGTCCAAGGCAGATACTTGCTCTGAAGGAAGAGAAGAATGTGTAAAATTTTCCTGTTTCCAGGTTCCTGAACCAAATCAAAATGCTATGTTTACAGTTTACATTTGATCCTAGTGTAAGCCACAAAGTGAAAAATTGCCTCAAAAGAGGAAATATTGACACACATATTATACAATTTCTAGTCTTTTCTTAAAGGAAAAACTGTTATTCCTATCCCAAAAAAATATTAACAAAAGTCATCATTCACCCTCAATATTTATCTATTCTGAAGCAAATAAAAGAAAAGGAAAAATATATATTTCCACACATTTCCATCTCTACATTCAGGTGCCAAATCAGGTACCAGCATCTATGCAATGCTAGAGAAAAAACCACCAACAGCCTATCCTTCTATCCAGCTAGATTCACATCTTGTACATTTCTCATTATCAAAACCGGAAAAAGTAAGCTCCAATTGCACCAGCCTAAACGAGCTTTAACAAATTTCTTTACTATTCTCAAAAACTGAAACCAATCTTTACCAGATTTTTTGTCTGCCTCCAGTTTCAGCTTGTCTGCTGCAGCCACTTTGCAGCGCGCGTAAACATAGAGCACGCGAGCCTTTTCATATACCGGCGCGTTGGTGAGAATGCGCAAGAGGTGTGTTTCAATCAGCCGGACAGCTTGGTCTGGCAGCTGCATATTTAACTGAAACAGACAGAGGAAATGCTTGCTACTCCAATCGACAAAATAAAATTCACATCAGTTAGGAAGCAAGCTACTTGGACCAAACTATCAGGGCTAGTCTTTTGTTTTAGTAGAGGTTTTATGGGGCTCGCAACTGCATAAATTCATATGAATGCCAGAAGATTAGACGTGTTACAAGAGAGTAACAAACATAAAAAAGAAGGAGAGGAGATAAGGACGCTAGATGTTTGATAGGAAAGAAGAAGCAAACCACACCAGTTAGAGTTAAGACAGGGGCAAATAAATTTTCTACCTCCCAAGCACACAGCAAACACTAAATTACTGTTTAAATAAAATCAACCCAGAAAATCTCAATATTGAGGTTGACAGTCGCAAATCATGTAAGTCTAAAATAAGGTTGTATTTGATTTTATTTTCTCTGAAAAAAATCACTTAGAGACCCTCTTGCATTCTTTTTTAATACAGAGCAAGTTAAAACAGCAAAAACTACTAAATATAGCGTTGGTGCAACGCAGGTAAAGTAAAAAAGTAAAGTTGTTCCCGCATCCGATCCGGACATTGGGGATTGCCCTGTTAGTGAGACAACATCCTGGGCCTTCGGCATATTGTGGTAGGGTGCAAAGCAGGTATGTATTCGGTTTCTGGTACATTTGCAACTCGCTCACTGTTTTTCTTGAAAGAGCTCATTTCAAGACTTACATGGTTTGTAACACTTATCATCCATACCTGTGCCTGTTTATGATCCCTTTCACACATGCCTCAGAGAAGTAAAAAAGAGCACATATAACATTCAGCCCCCCCCCCCCTCCACTCACCCGTCCCGGCACAGTCGAGCACACACGCACACTCCCACACACACACACACACCCCTCCCCCTTCTTTATGTATCACAACAATCACAGGGCACCATTTCCTGTTCCAGTACAATACAACAGTGACCCTAGATGTTTCCCACTAGGTAAGCAGTTCAAAGCAGGAGGCTAAATTTTACTTTCAAGCAGAAAATAGCTTAGTAGAATAACAGTAGGAAGCACAAATATATACCTGTACAAAAGCCAGGTAGGCAGAGGCCAAAGCTTCATACAGCTGAAGGTGATGTAGTCTGGCGTGAGCAGTACAGTCAGAGATGTGGGGGATGGCCGATGTGTGGTTGCCCGTGGCGATGTAAAGGGAGGAGAGTTCCAGGAGGACCCTGAGGAGGAACAAAATAAACATTCAGCGACAAGCACAGCAACAGGCTAGCCCAGGATAGAGACAGGTGGAAAGCATTTGGTTATGGCCTTTTGCCTGTTCCAAGGAGAGAAAGGCAATGATGCTGATGATGATGTTGATGATGATGATGATGATGATGATGATGATGATGATGATGATGATCACAAACCTGAAAAATACAAATGTTCCTTTTATTGGAACACGAGAAAAGACGAGATAGCCAAGGGAGGGCAAAAGCCTTATATAAAACACGGGAAATGAGAAAAGTCTAGACAATGAAAGCAAATTTTCTTGTTATCAATATGTGAGGGATCGTGGTGAAATCAGGCGCTTGTCAAAATAATAAAGTCAATGAAAGCTCTACACAACAGTTTTATTCCTTTCAGTCCCATTCTTTCCTTTCCGTGCGTCCCTTCTTTTTGTTATTTCAAGCACCACAGGTAGTTGCATAGTCGCAGGGTACCACCGGAAGTTCTTACTTCTTCTTTGCTTCTTCCCAACACTACTTTACTTTTCCGATCCAACAGCCATCTGAGTTCTAGCCCTTCGGCCAAACTTTCCCAATACTAAATTACAATTATTTTGTGTCCATACACTTCTCTTTACTCAAACGAACAAACAAATTGGAAACACTGATCAAAGTAGCAGCTTACCTGCATCTGTAGTCTGCTGTATAGCCTGAGCCAGTCTTGTCGCACTGTGTCAAAAGCGCATCCAAACAGGCAAATGCCTCCGCCACCTGGCCTTTCTCTCGCAACAGGACACCTTGCCTGGTGAACAATTAACGGTGTTTGTTTTAGTAACAGTTTTACGGCACTTGCAACACAATAAGGTCATATAAGTGCAGAAGATTAGAAGTGTTAACAACCACAAAAAAGGAGGAGAGATAAGCGTGATAGATGAATGTTTGACAGGAAAGAAGGAGCAAAGCACACCAGAGCACCCACCAACCATCCACAATCGGAGTCTGTAATAACTGCAAGTCCTACATAAGGCAGAAATACATGGCATGCTAATGTTAAAGATTCAAAATTTGAGTGTTGGCTGGTGCTCTGGTGTGGTTTGCTCCTTTCCTATCAAATATTAATCATCCTAATCTCTCCTTCTTTTGGTGTATGATACTCTCTAATACCACTTCTAATCTTCAGCATTTCTTCAACCAAATTGTGTTGCAAGTGCCACAAAACTATTACCAAAAAAAAAAAGTATAAAATGTACAAAAATTGAAAGAGACTTTGTTAAACTAAGCTATTTTTCGTTAAACTCAACTATTTGCAAAATGGTCACTCCTCTTTTTGCAGCCTTAACACTTTGCCGTCATATCTCGCCGATCTGCGATGTTTACCACTCGGCTTCTTTAGATTTTCCCCAAAATATCTTTGCCTTTGATGGCAAGGGTTTTGACTGAATGAGACTTGTGAAGGCAAAGTGTTAAACTATACGTTAGAAATTGTAATAGCACAGTCGAACTTACTCTAATAACCAAATGTCCAAGACAATCACATGTACAAACAATCACTTTCCATTTTCTCACTTCTAATTTTTTCTTTATCATTAGAACACTGTCACAGAGAAACACCTGTCTAAGATGAGCATAAGATGTCAACTGTGAGGTTCAATTGTGAGTGTATCTTGTCATCATAAAACTATTTTATCGAAAACAATCAGCAAAAGCTATCCTTAAGTTGGGCTTTCTTCCCACTGGAATTTCAGGTTAAAAGTTGGGAGGTTCCATCTCTGTCTGCATTTACCTTATTTTCGATTCAGGCTCATCCACAGCTCGCAGGTTCATGAGTACCTGCTCCGCCTCCCCCAGCCTCCCGCTCAGCACGGCACGTGTGAACATGATCCTCTGTTGGCACGACTGCCACAAAAAGGCGTGTTCTGTGTTCACGGGAAACCGCAGCTTGGCGGCATTGAGAATCTCATTTGCTGCTGAGTACTGGCCCTAGATGAACGAAAAGGAGAAAAACATTATCTCCTGTTGAAGAATTGAGTCTTATGGCACTGTCAAAACCACTATCATATGTAAGGGCAGAACACAGAAAAAAAAATGTTTTGTTAGGCTGATTACAGAGAAGCACTCGGCCCGACAACAGTCATTTGGTGCTAGGAAAAAGTAATATAGACAGGCTGAAACAGCAGAGGGAGAAAAAAATAATGAAACCTACTACAGGGGCACTCCACCCACACGCCCTCCAAAAAATAAAACAGCTTGAGAACTTTGTTCGAGTACGGAGAGGCACATCCACACAATTATGGTCATTTAGTGCTGGGAAAAAGTAAGACAGTACAGAAACAAAAGTGGGAAAGTAAAGAAATAGGACCTACCAGGGAGGGAGTTTATAAGTGAAGGAGTGAGAGAGTTACAAAATGAGTGAAAGAATGAGTTAGTCAGACCACACATGATTGCTTGTAAATCATGTGTTTGGGAACATACAAGTTCATTGAACTCATGAACACGAGAAATAGCTAAGAAAAAAAAATGGCAAAGAAAGAATCACACAAAAACTTTCTCTGGGTGCAGTGGATCCTTTCAAAAGACGAATAAAGAATACAACGCAGCGGGTTCACCAGACTCTTACCACTATCTCTAACCCGAGACCCAAACCTAAACCTTGTTAAGGGGGTGTGGGTTGTAGACTATAGCCCCCCCCCCCCTCCCTTTGTATAATAAACACTTCTCCGTAATGTCTTCTAAAATACACCACGAGAGGCTTAACACCAATAACCATGTAGACTGAATGTGTTTGCTCAAAATATCTCTTAAAAGAGACTATGCCAAGCTGAGATTTCTGTGCAGCAGCCATTAGACAATTCGCCATCACACACATGATGTGAGTTCAATTCCCATGTCAGGAGGAGTTCTCTCGAGTATCTCAAGTCTGCTGGGATGTTGTATCCCTCTCAGCCCACGTCAGTCCTCACACGCCTGGTCAAACAGGCAGCCTCCTAAACAAGCTAAATTATGTCAAAGGGGGCGTAAAATATCTACCATTGCAATTATCATATAACTCACCTTTAACATGACCTTGCTTATAATAATGGGCAGGGGGATAGGGGAGAGGGGGTATACATCTGACACCAAAATCAGGTCAATTTTGTTGCAGTTTTAAGTGAAATTTTGACATGATGAAGGAGGCTCAAAACATGTGCATTAGTGTATTAATCAGTCAAATGTTCAGAATATTTAGTGCAAAAATCGAGAGTGCCCCGGAAAATGGTTCAGTTAACATTGCTTATTCTGTTCAGTATTTATTTCACATCACTGATCAGCAATCAAAATGAATGTATCATACAACAAAGGCTTATGTTACACATATAATACATGGGCTATGTTTATGGACTTCATTTTTTTCTAATCCATCATATCATATAATGGATTAATGATAGATTGCATTTATAAAGTGCTCTATACAAGTATAAGCTCTGAGCTCTCATTTTTGGGGAGTGTATACGACACAAAAAGCCAAAATTCTGACATGCAGATACAGAGCCCACCAGACGACTGAGCCTACTTACAGCGTCAGCATGGAGCTGGGCAATGTTACACATGGCTATACACACAGACTGGCCACTGTAGTAGACGCCGTTGATGCTCGTGTTCAGGTGTAAAACCACCTGGCTGTCCAGGTTGCTCAGTTCCCTGTTAACAAGACATGTGCATACTGGTTGAATATGACTTAAAAGCTGTTAGGTATTACCCATACTTCAAAACTGTATTCTTACTTACCTTTTTTTTCCCATGATAAACATTTTGGCTCAATAAATATGTAACTCATTTAACATTTTAGCTCAATAAACTTGTTAAGAAAATTTTCAAAATTCCAGCTTAGGTGCTGATATTCAATCATCAAACCACATTCACATAAAGTTATTACCCTCTGCAAACAAAAAGGAAGAAAAAGTCAATAATGAAAACAATACAGCGGCACCAACACGGTCATTCATAGTGACCAAATGCCAAATTTTATTACGAAAGTGGTTCTGAGAAGGGAGATTTCAGCATCTGAAAATTGAAGTCTCGGAGATTTTCGCTTTGACCGCATAATCTGTGATATCTTCTCAGATAAGTCGAAGTTTACATTCAGCAAGAGATATTAAACCACTGCACGTACCCCTTTGTGATTCCTAGAAAAGACATACAATAAGTTGGTGAAGGTGATACACTGCATTATTTGGAGTCTATGAGCGGTTCTTTTTTTTTTTTTCTTATAATGTAAATGCTTTTACGCCCCCATCAACACAATTTAAATCATTTAGGTGAGAGCCAAACCCGATTCAGAAGGATGCAAAATCCCAGCACAAAGATTAAGATACTGGATAGAAATTTTCTCCCCACTCAGAGATCAAACTCAAGTCTCCTGCGTGCGATAGAGAAGTGCCTAACAGCTACACCACAGACGCCAGTTATAAGCAGAGCACAAAAAGAGCTACACCCTCACCTGTTGCCATAGAAGCCCCACATGGCGGCCCGCTGAGTGAAGCCTGAGGACATCATGCTGTAGTTGGAGTGCATGCAGTTGATCAAGTTGCTCTGTGTGAAGTAGTAGATCACTCTGGGAAACACAAAAGACAAACATGCAGAGGAGTCCGCCTCAACTGACTACAGTGAATCCGAAAACTGCAGATAATCGAAAAGAAAAGAAAATCACCCATTGTTTTCTTTTTCTTATTTCAGCAACATCTTTAAACTGTCCCCGTGGTTTTATGCACCCCGCATAATTTAGCAAAATTTGATCATTTTTTGCATAATTTCTGATGATTTTTCCTTTATCATGCTTTGTTAAAATTAATCGAATCGCATATTTCACATTTTTGGGCTCATTTTGCATAATTTCAGAATTTTTCTTGCATAAAACGACGGGGACAGTTTAAACTGACAACCTGGTCAAACTGAAGAAAATCCGGCAGTTCCATAATTTTTGGTTTAAGCAGACTCCACTGAAAATGGAGTTATTTCTTCTTCTATGAAATGTCATGCCCAACTGGACGAATATATCGTCTGTGATAACAGTTGTTTAAGTTTGTTGTTTTTTTCCAAGTTTCAAGTTATTGGCATGGTTGAAATGCCTCCTACTTGTTTTGTATCGTCAGGATAGCTGAGTTTTGCTTTGAGTACTATAAAATCCAATTAAGTGAGACATTTCCACTTTTGCTCAAGTGAAAAGGTGAACTCCGCTCACCACTTTTTTGTTTTTCGCTTTCTCGAAACAACAAAAGAATCATTTACCCAATTGCATTATGACTGACAAATTGATTCTTTGATGCACACGAAAAAATGCAACAAAAAAAAAGGAAGAGTGAAAGGAAGAAGGCTGAAATGGTTTAACATAATAATAAGCAACTGTAAATCTAAGCCTACAATTAGATTTGCGTCAGCATTTACGGTGCCATTAGAAGGGATACACTGTATACAAATAAAGGATCACACTATAAAAAGGGACTCTGAAAGCTGCATAATAATGTAGATAGAGTTTCTAAACTTTCTCTCACATATCCTCAAAAATACTATCCTTTTACAGTCATGATACTAACAAAATCATTTCAATGAAATATGAAAACAAACTATCAGCCATTTTTGGCATTTAAAACCAACAACAATGTCAGTGAATATGCAAAAAAAAAACATTCAGTGACTGATGGATTCGCATATCTCCAATTTACTATGATATTCTAGAACACGGAAATTCAATTGAAAACAACTAATTCAATATAAACTTCATGTCCAGTGAAACTATGGCATAATATTCAACTCAAGTACAACCTAAGGAAATTATACAAACTCTGATTTTTTAAACCAAATTAGTGGACACATACCTGGCAGGACTCTCTGCATTCATGCCAAGCTGTTTGCTCATGGAATTCAAGCCCAGGACAGTAAGATTCTACAAAGAAAAAAAAAAAAAAGTAACATTTGATACGGTATAATGGTATGGAACACGTTTAATACCCCTATCAATACCGTAAAGTCGCTTGAGGCAGACCATTCTGATTTAAACTCCATCCCTGAAAACTACGAGCCAATAGGATGAGGAGCCTTGAAAACCCCCCGCATCCCTGAACTTCACGAATTACTAAGGATTCAAACCATGGTTATTTGAATTGCCATCCAGCATGACACCAACTGAGCTATCGGCATGCTCCAAAGTAACATTGAAAAAGAATTTCCGTTCAAAAATTGACAACGGTCACAATGAAGACAAAAAGAAAGTAAAATAAAACCGGTACGACATGGCTTACATGTCACATTCTCATCTGCCTGCTTTGTATCTATGTGTTGGTTGGACAGTCCGGCTGCACAAGGATATGTGACTTATATTTACCAAATCCTTGATATGTCTCACCTTTAAAACAATGACGGGTCTGTCCCAAGACAAACTGTCGTAGTGCGGTACTAGCCTTAATGGTTTCTTATATTGGTTCAGGGGTCTCTTCCTTACACATGATCACAACAATACCCAGTTCATCTCACTCCTTCTCCTTTGCAAAAAAAAAAAAAAGATATGAAAAAAAAATTACATAAAATTAAACAAAAACCAATACAAATACATTGTCTTAAGTCAACCATTACAGTCACCGACAGGTCACATTTCATATTTCAGTAAGGAATAAACAAACAAGGCCACCTGGAGGCACTCTGGTAGGACTAAGCTGCTCCCTTAATTTTCGCAGAAAAAGCCAGTCAGTATAAGAACCTTTTTTTAAAGCTATTTTTTTATATTTTTCTATCAGCCAAATAACTGCCCACTCCACTCAAGACACACTCACTGGTAATGAAAGATCAATTGTCTTCCTAATGGACCTTTCCATCTGCAGCACAGGCTTCTCATTGTCATCTAGGAGATTGAGCCACACCTGTAAGGAAAAGAAAAATAACATGACATCACTACATTAAGGAATTAGTGACTCTTTATCTCTGAGAAGGGTTAACCCACTATGCAGGGCCCTCCTTCGGTACGAAATCTTAAAGAGACCAAAATGCAACTAAATTGATCATAAAATCAAAAGAAGTGAACCTGTTTCGATAGTTCTTCATTTACTGAATGAACTCTTGGTAAAAGAGACCTGTTTTGGGCAACTGCTGAAAGTAATTTGACGTCGAAATCGTAGTGAAGGAAAGTGCCCAAGCCTCTGCCAGTGGCTCATCGGCACAATGATTCCGACCGCAAGCCGCTGGGAGCAGCTTGTTGGAGATACGGAATTAAATAACTTAACAATTTTGTACTTCATAGTCTAGTGGTTAGACTACAGCACTCACACTCGTGAAGTTGTGGATTGAGGGGTTCGAGGCTTGGTTCGGCCTGACTTTGTATATTCTGAAACAACAGAACAGGGCTAACCTTCCCCATTTTAGTCAACAAAGTAACCCATAATTTAAAGTTCAGGTGGAGTGGACTGAAGATACATGACATTTTTATTTCAATACAGCAAGGCCAAAGCAACTGAATATTTATCCGCATGTATACTAAACTGATCAGCAGTTCAATCTAGATTTCATTATTTAACCCTACTGATCCAAACACAAGCTGGCTACCTTTACTATTTCGTATACTGAATATATGCCTCAAAAGGCAGCAGTGTAAACCTAGCAAGTCGTCCCAAGGGAGCTAAGGAGCAGGGATTCAGTAAGCTCACGAGGACAGAGATCAAAGGGTTAAAAGCAAATCATTCATAGCAAGGGGGCTCAGGTACAGCATTCACCTGTCACCCTGGAGGTCCTGAGTTTGATCCCTGTCAGCATTGATTTTTTTTTTCTCACATGTTTTCTCCACCCTTGATCCTCAGGTAGCTATTTCTGTCTTTTTGGACAAGAACAAAAATGTTGGGGGTTCCCTGGGGAAGTTTCACACTTTAAAGATTCTTTGGTGGTTCTAAATCTAAAAGAGGCTTTTCGAGGCCCCCTCTGGACAAAATTCAAAGTACATTCCTTTCCAAAACTGAAGCAACTCTAGTAAGTATAGTAAGTATGTATATTAAGAGAATCTTTGAAAACTGCACATGGCTGCCTGTCAGGCATGGGATGATTCTATAGCAAAAATGGCCATGTATGTAAAAATCAACTGCACTGAGAGATGAAAGTCTTACAGTTACTTCTTCTTAGAACTCTAGCAGGAGTATGAGAAAAAAAATCATGTATTACTTGTTATGTATTGTTAAGAGAGAGTAACTGTGTGTGGTCGTGATCGTTATATTAAGCGAATTATGTATTATATCTGTGTTTATCAAGTCAAAATAAAGGTGTGTTAATCACGAATCACGGCAGTTCAGTTCAGAATAAACTCTCGAGTAAGTCGCACACGTGTGTTGCAGATATTATGTTACTGAAAAGAAATATCTTACCAGTGCATGTTGCAGACACACTTGGTCATTGCTTTCTTGAGCCATTCGTATAGCATCTTTCAAGGCTGCTTTACTTTCCTCTCTGTGGCAAAGAAACAAAACATCCTGAGAGCATGCATTCACAAAGCCAAAACAAGAGGGAGAAGGGGGACAAGCATCTTTATGCCATTGTGCAGTCAAAGAATTTTAGACTATAAATGGTCAGTTACCAGTGGGCGAGTCTGAGGCTGAACTTGCAGCATTACAAAGTTTCCATTCAGTCAAAGCTATGGTCTTACTTCAAAACTTCAAACCAAAAAGTTACAAAGAAATGTGTAAGCTACAGCACCGGGAATTGACAGCGTCCTGCATCAAGAGTAGAAATAAATATTCTCAACGAGAGAAATTCAGTGTGAGTAGAACCAATATACAGTCGAAATTGTCTATAGCTTGTTCATTTTTGTCTGACCGCAGTTAAAACGAGATAAAATCAAATCATTCTGTTTAATTTCCTCAGGTCTTTGCATAAAAGAGTCTAAAAGTTGGACGGCCAACAGAATCTAATAGCCCATTCATAAAAGTAACTCCAAACTAATGTGCCGACATGTTTCCTTTCATATTAGCCTAAAGCGGGTAAAAAAAATAATAGTGGATTTATAGCATACACATTACACATTAGAAACAAACTACTTTCCTCAACGCCACACCTAAATGTTTGCCAAAGAAACATTGCCAAACAGACGAGTGGGCACTTTTCAAGACCCACTAGGAACTGTATAGACAGTCATGTGCTAAAATTGACAAGCTTACACTGACAAGTGGGGGAAGGGTTGTGTCATTCTCTCAAAATGAGCAAGATGTATTTTTTTCATTACTGGATAAAGATTTTTTTTTTCGTTTGGTCACTGGTTTGCAGAAGTGCCCTGTAAAGTTTCTTGGGCACAGGTAAATTAATAAATGAGCTAGAAATTGTTTTAAACAGATAAACGAAAGTGAAAAAGCTATATGACAGCCTCCCATTGTCAAAGAGAAAAGTGGCCATCTCAGATAGGTGGCTGTCTTATAGGTAAAAAGTAAGTAAATTTTATTACAAAATTTATGAGAAAAGATAATAGACAACACTTCAACTGAGGTGCAATTCACATCAATATGATAATATTTAATCTCAGTCCTGGCACTATATTTTACTTATTTGACTAATAAAGCAAATATTGATACTGTCCTAATTATCAAAAATTTTTTTTATCCAAACAAACAAATTTTTAAAAAGTCATCACCATAACAGAAAGACGCAAATATACAAACTTGTTTCCAAAACGAAACTGAAGTGAAGCGAGGTTCAGCGCAGCATATCTCATCGCCACCTCATCTCCATTTCCTTTCTTCTTGTTAGGGTTTCCGTCATTGGGCGTGCAGGCTTTGCGATCAAAGTAGTGATACAGGTTGTGGAGGGCAGTGCAGTACTCTCTCAACCGCAAACTGTTCATGTAGCTTAAGAAATGCTAGGAGGGAACAAAACACAAGTAGTTAAGAGAGAACGAAAAAGGGGTCGGGTTGGGGGGAGTGTGAGACAAACAGAAGTATTGCCCCCCCCCCCCCAATCCCCATAAAAGCATTACAAGCTTGCAAGTCTAGGATTACATGAGCACAGAGCCCACTAAAATCAAAAACTCAGTAAGAATTGCAGAACACATAGGAGGAAAGTCATCAACATTATAAAGTGCCAGATCTGAAACACATTGTCAATCACGGTTCTAAGTTCATTTCTCCGCTCAGATGTTCTAAAAAAAAAAACTGCATTATCCTGGTGTTTTCCTGTTACCCATCTGTTCAGGTTTTCCCAATAAGTCGCTCTAGGTCTTCTACTCCTGCCTTGCTTGCCTTTTTTTTTTCCCAGTGAGAGCAAGATGTTCAAAGCCTTTAAGATGAATCAAGTGTCCCAGAAACTGCATTTATCGCTTCCTTATTGTTCTTATTAGTGAGTTGCCCACATGAACCTCTTTGTGTACCTCCTTGTTCGGTTTCTTTTCCTTCCATGAAATTCTCAAGTCTCCAAAGAAACCACATGTGCGTAGTATCTATCAATCTTTAGTAGACCTATTATTATTATAGGAGAGTTCATGGCAAGAAAAGTTAAAATCATATGAATAAAACGGACTCCCATTAACCCCAATCCAGCAAACCACTTATTTAGATAGTGAAAGATCTTGTCAAGTTGTTTGTTTGTGCTGAGTGCTTTATCGGTTGCTTGCCATGTATGCTTCCCAGGATGTCAAGAATGTTCTTGAGTGTACTGGGGTCTGCTGGGGTAATAATATAGAATCTGAAGTACATAGAGCTTGATGTTGAGAGGGGATAGGTGCTACAAAAACGCTATTTATTATTATTTCTCCCTGCCTTCTCTAGTGCAAAAGTTTTACGACACTTGCAACACAATTAGGTCATGTAAGCACTGAAGATTAAGTGTTAATAGAGGGAAATATACACAAAAAAGAAGTAGGAGAGATAAGGATATTTGATAAGAAAGAAGGAGCAAACCACACTAGAGCATCTGCCACCCATCCATCCACTCCAGTTAAACCAGTAGGCAATCTGTCTAATAGGGCTGGAGTCTGCTCGATTAATCGAAGGCTTGCGAGCAAACGGACGGCTCGTGCCAGAGGCTTGCGAGCGGGCTTGAGTCTTGCTCCCTACCGGAGTTGCTACTCGTGGACGGCGGACGGGCTTACTGATTTGTGTCGTGACGTCACAAACTCTTGTTTACTGAGCGCGCGATACTTCTGCCCGCGTGCCGCACGCTGACAAGCCCTAAAAAACCCTCACACTTCCAGCGATGGCTCTGTTTGGGGAGGGGAGGGGGTGGTATGGCTGGGAAAGCGAGAGATGTTCGCCACCCCGCGCTTTCCGTAGAACCCACCCCTCCCCTTACGCCTCCTGGTTTGACAGGGTTTTATTTGTCTTGGTTTTTTGGGGGGTTTTTTGGTTCAGTTTTTTGTTGATAAAAAAAAAAAATTGGTTGGGGGAAGGATTATGTTTTGCTTTATTGATTTTCTGGGCATAATTCGCCATCATAATTAATATTTGTATGATAGAACATGCACAATACATACATAATATCAGTTACAGTGCAGCAAGATGTTTTTAAAAAAGTTATAGGCCTACAATGTAATTAACAATGTGATATAATTTACCTTAACAATGATTTTCTGATAGAGAAGCAGACAAATCAAAAGTGTTTTACATTGTTCAGAAACCAAATCACGATTGTCATCCCCTCCCCAATGCTTTCTCTTCAACTTCAACTTGTTCTAAGTGTCGGGGTGGGAGTGGAAGTGTAGTTTAGGCGAGTGATTAAATTACAAGCCACGGGATGCTAATAATACTGATTTATTTTGTCAGTTAAAAATTGTTTGTAAGTCTCACCTTTATTCTGCGTCCTAAATAGTTTAGCATACCGCGACCCCAGTGCTTTCTTGTCGTATCTCCATTTTTAATACCAGTGAAAACAGCTCATAACAAAATGTGAGCCTACGAAGATGTCACATTTTCACCGTTAAAGCACCGAGGTCGCAAACGGTCTGCACTAAGCTATTACAGCCCTCTTCGCCTTGCACCAAAACCAGCGCTGCCTCTCGCTTCCTCCACGTCCAGAGTTCAGAGTTCACGCCGCGAGCGGGGTGGATTACCGGTAGATCTTGCGTCTCGGTGCAGACGAGCGGTGTTTGCCCGACGAGCGGTGTTGTACTGGCGAGCGGTGTTGTTTTGCCAGGGCGGTAGTTGGACTCAAAGCAGATTTATTGACACGAGAGCAAGCCCTTAGCGCAAAGCAATATGAGACGCAAAGCAGGTCTTGGGACCAAGTGCTTTGCTTTGCTGTGATTTGAGTCTTGTCTGCCGTCCGCTGCTCGTATGCCTTCGAATAATCGAACAGACTAGTTTGTGGCGCAGTGACACTGTGCGCGGGGTCTCTCCCCCCCTCTCTTTCTGACGTTACGGGTTTCGCGGATTGCTAGCAGGGAGGGGAAGGAAGAGGGGGTCAGACACGAGTGGCTTCGCGGATTGCAATTTGGTGTGTGTACTTGAAGCTTAGGCTAGACTCAACGTATCATGCTGGTGATTTGATTTTATGATTTGATCTAGTGATTTGAGGCTTGTGACTTGAACTAGGGTCTTGCGAGTGCGAGGGTATTTGCTACCGGGGTACAGCCCTACTGTCTAATAGACCACAACATCCTATGTACAGACACTCACACCCTCGGCCATGTCCGGGTTAGCAGACAAGATGCTGGAGATCTTCTGCTGGAGCTGATCAGGCGGGAGACCCTTGAGCTCATTGTGGGACAGCATCAGGGCCTGGAGAGTCATCAGGAGACGCAAAAGTCACACATTATAACAACAAATATGAGGCAAAAAGTGTTGGAATCCACAGAGTACAAGATCAAGGGGAAGACCAAGTGGAACCTGGAGGAAGAATCACAGAAATTGATGTACAGAAAAGTGGGAAGATATAGGGAATAGCATCAAGAGGCTAGCCCAGGATAAGGTAAAGTGGAAAGTGTTTGTTTGTGGCCTTTACCCTGATACAGGGTGAGAAAGGCAATGATGATGATGATGAAATATGAGGCACGCTGACAAAATCATTTATTCCTCGCAATCCATGAATGGAGATGTAGGCCAAAAATCGACATATGCTTCAAATTTGTAGATTTTCAACAGACGCTATTTTCTTCAAGTATAACAGGTCTTTTATCATTTCACACCAATGAATTGTAAAATCTCCACCAATAAATTCCATAAATCTATATCTATTTTGCTGAAATCCAAGAAGTAACTCATTTTGTCAGCACAACTCACAGATGTTTTACAAATGAAAATTGTAAATGAGTGAATAGAAAAAACCTCAAAGAGAAAACTTTCCCAAACCTGATTTGCGATGAAGTATTCAGCCTGTTTTCTCGAGAAAAAGCTCCTGAAACGAGGGGAAAAAATAAACCAAATGTTACACACTCTTCAAGAGATCTGTACAAATAAATGAAGTAGATTCTGCTGTATAAATTGTGAATTGAGAAGAAAAGAAAAAAAAGAATAGCATTTTAGTATTGTTAGAGTTACAGAGGCATTACAAAAATGTCAAATAAAGAAGCCCAAGCATTAGAAATAAACCTGAGCTGAACAACAAATAATATACGTTTTAGACGTGGCATCGATGGTCTAGTGGTTAGGCTACCGGACTCGTAATCGTGAGATAGCGGGGTCTGGAGTTTGAGCCGCGGGCCTGATGTTGTGTCCTTGGGAAAGGCACTTTACACAAATTTTCCTCACTTCACCCAGGTGGGAATGGGTACCCAGCGATAGACAGCGAAACATCTTGTCAGTATGTTAGTGTTTGAGCGCCTATAAATGGCCGCTTGCACTGTATGCTTCCCAGGAAGTTGAGGTTGTTTCAGAAAGCTCTCAGGTCTGCTAGGGTAATAGTATAAATTGTGAAGCGCATAGAGCTTGATGTTGAGCAGGGATTTGCGCTATACAAATGCTATCTGTTGTTAGATGCTGTAACTTTTTTCTTTCAAGGTTACACCTAAGTCTGATGTCTTGTATGACTTAAAAGGTCCACTCAAACCCACATATCTATATATACACACATATACAAATTAACCCTCATATATATACGCACATACATATTTATATACACTTCCTTAAAACTAGGGGGGAAAAAGTCTCGTGGCCAAGTAGCCGTGGATACACATTTGAGCAACTTTCTGATTGTTTTTTAGCATTTGGGAAACACATGTTATGTGTTATAGAAGTTGAAGTTATGATCTTGAAAGCTTTCAGTTGGTTTAATCCAACCCACTTTGCAGTTTTATATGATTGACACTCTGGATGCATTTGACCCTAAATAACAATCAAAGCACCTTAACCTCCTAACTTCCAGCACTTACAACATATGGAAAAAAAAACCTATCCAGCTATCAGTGAAGGAGGCAGAGGCTATCCTTGCGATACAGAGTGGCTATTTGCTTAGAACGAGTACGGTACCTGCACTTTAGCAAACACTGTAAAAAGATACATAGTCTTTTTTTTTTATTGCTCCTTGCAACCTTTTATACCAGGATTGCCTACTCTTTTAAAACTCAGTCTGGGACACCCAACATTATAAGATCAGATTTTAAAAATTTTTTGGGGTAAGCGTTTTACGGCGCTCGCAACGGCATAAGGTCATATGAGCGCACGGGACACATTAAACATTTTCAGTTGGTAGGAAATTTTTAATTTTGCCTAGGTGGCGGCCAAAGCCTACTCTTATCGATTTTGGACCACTAAGGGATCTTTAAAGTGCAGAACTTGTACACGGGACCTCCGAGACTTTTCGCCCTTGTCCGAGTAGGCTAAGTGTAAACCTTTCCTACCATAAGATCAGGGGTGTTGCTGAAAGGCAGCAGTAAGGAGCCAAGGAGTAGCAGTAGAAAGGCTGCATAAAGGGACAGGAAAGGAGCTGAAAGGAGACAATTTTAAGATGAGAAAAATTCCCATCGTTATTCGGATTTGAACCCGAGACCTATTGAATGAGAGACGAATACCTTAACCTCTAGGCTACGAGAGACCCCTAACATCAGATTACGTAACAAAGAACAAAATTACATCAACTAGACTTGGTTTTGGTGTAGGGCATATGATAAAGTTCTCAAATTCCTGATTGCAGATCTACAGCAGCCCTGGGAAATTCAGGATAGTTGGCAAGCCTACTATATTGATTCTCAAGCCACAAAGAGAGTGACCATGGGTGCACTAAAACTGCAAAGGCCCCAGCCCTATTAACTAGTAAGTGAATACTCAAACCTAAAACCAAAAAGTAAGACACTCACTGTCCACTTAGTGTTTCCAAGATGGACCTCTCGTTAAGCTGTGATATGTTTAGTGCTTGCTCTGACAAACCCAGGTGACGATTTGCTCTTTTCGTTACACTCTCATCAGAATCTGTCTCTTCCAATTTCTCAGGAAAGCCTGCCTCGTAGTAACGCTGTATTTTTTTCTGAAATCCAGACAAATCAGCAAAAGCATAATGAACATGTACACTTCTATGAGACAAATGTAGGGCAAAGTCAGAAAAATGACAAATCATGTACTGCATTTTGAGTATTATAATTTCCAAGTATGGAACAAAGGAATATCCACAATGATTGAACTAAAAGAGAGGATACAAGATTTGGTCGCTGGCCTCAGTTAGACCATGTTTTCTGACGATTTCATACATCTAAAAATGTCACAGGTTGGATTGTAAGATAATAGTTTGATGAATTGATTTGTGGTGCACATCAAATAAGCACATTAACAGCTATACTTAACAGGAATTGATTAAAACTATAGCAATACTTAATATAAAAAGAAGTAGAAAGAGCAGACAATACTGGGGCAGCCACTATCTACCTATGCTTGAGACAAAGGATGAGGCACATACTATTACTTCAGCCCTGAGTGACATGCATAGTGGAAACATCCACCTGTGGAAAGGAAGAATCCATACAATATATACAACAGTTCTTCTTCTTCTTCCTCGTTCTCGATAACAGCAGCTAGAAAGTCAGTCCGATGTCGCGTACAAACTGTGTAGTTCGCTTCAACTCTCAGAGACTGCCATAGAGCTTTCTCTCAAGGGGAGCCACATTCTGCCACGTCTATGCGCGAAGGGTGGCGTAGCGTGGGCAGTGCTGAAGGATATGGTTGGCATCCTCTTGGTCGTGTCCACATTCACAGATAGCTGTCTCTCCCACTTTTAATTTGGTGTGCATATGGTGTTTGAGTCTGTTGTGGCCACAAAGGAGTCTAAAGATTGTGACCTGGTCTGCTCTATTTAGTATGTAGTAGGGGTCATGTCTGTTGTGCTTAGGGTGGGACCTTTTCCATCTGTTTCTTATAGCAGTTTTTATTAGTGTTTTTGACCCTGAGAGATCCATGCCATCTTCAATCTGGGTCACTTTGGCTCCTTCTTATACAACAGTAACAACTGACATTTTCAACCTTCAGTACCACCACAAATCCCTCATTTTAAAAAAAAGATTATATACAGTAAGTAAGTTCTCAAATAAAGAACAACACTTGCAACTTTTACAACATGAAAAAGGCAGAAAACTAGTAGATGTTTAACTCTGAATGCCCAGGATATGAGAAAGAAAGAACAACACACTCACTGTCTTCATACTTACATATGTATCTACCAGCTGCGTGAAAGACATCTCATTGTAAGCCAGTTCCATTCTTCGGATGTATAAACCTGAAGGAAATTCAAACAGACTTGTAAAAAGCATTGCATTTAGCCATCCACAGAAGGTTCTTTAGCATTAACGAACTGTGCTTTTCTTTCATCCCAAAGTAACAGGTTCAGAGCTCAGTTCTCGCAGGCACGGAAGATCCTAGGTTAAGATGGAGAAAGCACATTATTTTCTCAGAAAAGGACAATAATTTCAAGCATTCCCATGTGAACATAGCATGCAGGCTTGCCAACTTTTTCGAAACCCAATCAATGATACAAAATTACATTCTAATTTTCGGTCACTGAATCCAGGAGTCCTAGGAAATGCAGTACAGTTTTCAAGCCCGAATTTGGGAAAAAAAGTGGGCATCACAAGCTAACTGCCTGGAAAAAAATTAAAACCAATCTCAGTACAAAGCAGAAGAATCTATCATGGGAGTAAATAATGAAGAGAACCTGTTAATAGGAAAACGCCTGATGGATTGTGCTACAATAGAAGGAAAATATGCCTTTGATGTAAAAAACCATCAGAACTGTGGGTGAAAGAAGTTACAGTTAACACCTCTTGAGAATGATAGGGACAAATTGTAGGTCCAGCAATCAGACATTGCAAGTTTGAATAAAATTCATTCCTTCTGTGGAGGAAGACCCATTACTTTTCACAAGAGACGAGCACAGAACTTGCAATTCATAAGCTCCAGCATAAAAACTAAGCATACTAAACATAGAAATGAGTATTACGAGAAATGGAAAGGTCATTAGGAACACAATTCTTTTTTTTTTTAATCCTCACTGCGCTGAAATAAAAAATTTTTAAAATCAAGAAAAACAAAATTACACACTCACCCATAATGCTTTCACGTTTGATAACTTCAGGCTCATCTGCGGTGGATGACAACAACTTGGAGTTGCTCTCAAAAAAGTCGTTGATTGGCTTGACTCCCTGTGTACTGACTGCCCTCAGCCTATAATGTCAATACATTAATTACATTATACATCTTGGAAGACGCTTTTTCTATTTTTGCAGTCACACAATTTGTTTACCTCGTGATATAAGAGTTAAACTTTTACAAACTTCACAATTTAAAGATGACTAGGCCGGTACAGAAGCTCAAAGTTATCAGGCACTTTGATAATCCAAGTTTCAATATGAGAAAGATATCAATACTAAACACCATATTATATACATAATAGATATGAATATTACAAAACTAGAGTAATTTAAATTCATGTGCAGAGATTAGCAATGAATTCAGTGGGTACACACCACAATATTGCTGTATATACAAGCGTAAAGGCAAACGCAAGGTTGCCATAGTTTCAAATTCAAAGCACTGAACTATGATACTCACAAGGCATAGAGAGCGTTCAAGAGAGCTGGCTTGAGAACATGGTCGATGTGAGACCTGAGGGTCTTTAAGTCCATATCAGGACCCTGGTATGTGGTGAAAAAAAAAAGTAATTTAACATGCCTGAGATCCCTGTGCTTAGGAATCAGGCTAGGAAAGAGCACAAATTCAGCTTGTTAGGTCAATTAGATATTAAGCTGATAAGAACAGAGAACAACTCAAGTTATAATAAAGCACCTTTTACTGTGAAACTTACATTTTTTAACTTACTTAAAATGTCCCAAAACCGAGTGAACAACTGAAACTGCAAGAGACTGAGTCACTTGTGAAATCACAAAATACAGTCGAAACTGCTCTTAGAACCCCCAGTCCAAGACAGCACCTGTTCAAACAATCGCTTCTGACTTCCCCCCTTGCATTTTTTTTTAATTTCTTGAATTATAACACTGTCCAAAAGGACAACCAGTCAAACATGACCATTTCTCTCCAAAACAATGAACTGAACACTCAAAACACTCAAAATTTTTCACCTTAAGAGAAACACACTTGGGGGCTCTCATAGTCGAGAGGTTACAGTATTTGCCTCTCATTCAATAGGTCCCCAGTTCAAATCCGGAGGGCGACGGAAAATTTTCATCTCTAAAAATTGTCTCAGACTACACCTCCTTTCCAGCTCTTTAACAATGTTCTGTCATTTGCTTTTGTCTCCACTTTTGCCCCCCACCCCCTCACCCCCTTCTCTGGGCTCCTGGCTCTTTCTGCAGCCTTTCTACTGCTACTCCTTAGCTCCTCCTTACTATTGTCTTTCAGCCAAACCCCTGGTCTTATGGTAGGTAAGATCTAACACCTAGCTTTCTCTGATAAATCCCAGAGGTCTCATGTGCAAGTTCTGTACATTAAAGATCCCTTGGTGGTCCAAAATCAAGAGTAGGCTTCAGCTGCCATCCGGGCAAAATCCAAAATTTCGTAGCACTGAAAATGTTTAATGTGTCCCAGACGCTCAAATGACCTTATGCAGTTGCGAGCACCGTAAAACATTTACCAAAAAAAAAGAAACACACTAAGAGACCATTATTATGGAAATTATTGAGTAAAATGAAATCAAGCTGATTGATCAAACAATTTGGTCAGAACATATATATGAGATGAAGTATTCAATATAAAGTATAAAGTATTAGAAATTCAACACTTTCACCTCACTCTTTTCCGCTCACTTATTTTGATGAGAATAAAATGAACAGAAAGAAAATTTTTACCAAAAAAAAAAAGAAAGCAAAAATATAAACACTGCATTGAAAATTAGTCTTCTACTGATGGTGCAATAAACCATTAAATTTAATTTAATTTGCAGATTTAAATGAGATGGTCAAATTACCACAAGCCAACCTTACAAGGTAAACAAACAGTAACAGATCTTAGGAATATTTTCTAATTCATCGGTGAGCCTTAAATCTACACCACCAAATCACCTGCAAGAGGCTAAGTAGTGTGACCATGAAAACTCTCTTATCGTCATCTGTCAACATGTTCTCTTCATCAAAGGAATCGTCGCACGGTGACACTCTCATCAGGTGAATGTACTCGTAAACGAGAGCCATGATAGACAGTTTGTGAGGGGTGACCTGTGGGAAAATTTCAGGAAAGTCTCATGATGGAAAACTACAAAGAAAAAAAATGACAAGACGGCTGTATTAATTACCTACCTCTAATTTGAAACAAAGAGGACTTATATGGTACAGGCACTATGTTCTGTCAAAAATTAAATGAAAATGTCGAAAAATACCGTTTTCTGATCATCATTACGTTATTATCTCACGGTGTTCTAAAGTGTCCTACAATTTCAAACTCACCATAGCTTAAAAAAAACAAAAGAGAACTAAAACTTCACTTCATACATCTCCTGTAAATGTCTTTCCTGTCACAATCAACACATCTTTTTAAAAAAAGATCAATCTCACAACTGCTCATCATTTGGCACGTCTTCAAGCATACAAGAAATATTCACAAGTGATCATGGTGTATTTGTGAAGATAACAAGCACCATAAAGATCACTCTGAACTCAATTTGTAGCTCAAGGGGGAGCAAACCACCAACATTTCAAGTTCAAAACCATTTGAATCTGAGCTCTCAGAAAGAGAATGCAAGATTACAGTTTTCAACATAGACGCCTTCCCATTTTGACGCTTCAGCTTACTTCAAGCAAACTAACAGCACTAATTCCTACTTTGACATTCTAATTTCTTTCACTTTAACTCACTGAAAGAAGTGTAGGAAAACTGCACTATATGTATGCATTCACAATACATTCGACTAAAGAAGGCCGATAATGATTTTAGGCTAAAACTCTAAAGCCTTTGCTCTTTTTCTTGTTCACCAAAGAACTTTTTTTTTTCATACATGCCATCCCCAACAACTCCTCTAGACAGAGATGCCTGTTAGAATTCTAAGCATTTTTCTCCTGTTCCGTCCAAGTTTGGCCTAGTTTCTGGGCATCTGCCCCAACCCTTCTCTGAAGGCCGAGATTCACGGCAAACGCAGATGCTAGACAAAATGAGCAGTAATATTTCAGGTGATTTTAACAAGGGGGTTTTTAGGGGGGGACTTGCCCCCCTGACCTTATATAAAGCCACCTTCTATTCTCACCAGGGGTGAGAATAACGCAGTTGTAGGCCTCTCACAGGGTGAGGGGCAATCTTCTGGCTATTCTCACCCCGGTTTGTGTTCACTGCTTAGGGCAACGGCTCAGGCTGATCACTGCGGGTGAGAGGGCGAGCCTTTTAAATTTAGCTATTTTCACCCGTGTGCTCTCACCATTGAAACAAACGTTCCAGCACGGTTAGTATTGAAAGCATGCAATTTTGTCTGTAGGCAGTGAGAGAAAAAGAGAGAGAGAGAGATAGAGGGGGGAAGGTGAGAAAGAGTAGGGACAGAGAGAGAGAGAAGGAGTAGCAACGCGAGAACTTCCGGGTAAAACAAACAGGCAACCAGCGTAGTTAGGCTCAATTCAAAAAGTGAAATAGCCATAGCATCTTTGTAGATGACCAAATTAATTTACTTACACTTTGCAGTAACTTGGCGCAGGTGAAAAATCCGTTCCGGTCACCTGGCGCATTTCTGTGTCAGATGGAGTATTTCGTACTGTGCCACTGCAAAGTGTTAAATTGTGCTATAGCATCATTTTTTTACTTTGTTTTTGTCAATAAATTAATCATCCACGCCGATAGACAGTATTCAGAAATTATAGGAAAAACAGGTTTTGTTTCACACCGAGTGAGAAAAACCAACGCTGGCTATTCTCATCCCTTATATATATATATGGGGGGTTTCAGTGGGGAATTCCCCCCTGAATTTTACCCTAATTTGATGCTTTGCAATTCAATGGGTTTGATATCTCTTGCTCGCTGAGTGTCAAATATCATGATATCGGCACGCGCGTCGAAAGTAATCATTTAGAAAGAAGTAATCATCTGTAAAACTAAAATCCACACTACATATATAGTTTTATCATTGAGCCAAAACTGGATTATACCCTTTTTTCGGGGGGGTGAGGGGTGGGGGTAGGTCGGGGGGTATTTTTAACTTCGGCCTACACTCTCAAATCACTCATCCGCAGTTGCCCATGTCCTCCCTCCCCTTTGTACAACAATACACACTAGCTCTCACTCACACTCACAGGACAGGTTGTTAGACCTCTCTTCTCTAGGGTCATACAAAAATGCGAAAAGACATCATGATGAAAAGACACAAAAAACAACTGATTTGTGTCCTTTCAGACTTCAGACTCATGATATAATTTACAGGGTTACTTTGATTAAAATTGGGGTAATCCTTACCATCTACGGCCCCTACAAGTTGGTTATATATATAATATTACGCCGTGATGAACATCCGAGACTTCCAGATGAATGCCAGATTGGCGAATGACGTCCTTTCGATGTTTCATTTTATTTCTTGTCGCCTTACAATTATTATAGTAAAATATTATTAATTATGTAATTTTTTTACTGATAGGACTTTCCTTACTTTATGGTGCTGGGTACCACTGTAACAAATGGAAAATTACGTTATTAACCCTGGTCCTGTGGGAGCCAGAATGTTTCCTGAGCCTATTTCGGCAATTCCCCTACTTTCATACGATCTCGAGTCAGTCCGGCCCTGACTCAGTGCACCCGTCCCGAGCATCATCCGCGTGATGACAGGGACCCGTATTCCCGCAGCTCTTCAAGTGTGTGTGCATCAGTCTGCTAGAGTTTGTGTAAGTTTATGGCCTACTTCTAGAACTGCCCGCGTTGGTTAGCAACCTAATTGACCCACTTAGGTTACGGCACTCGCAACTGTATCGGATAAGGTTATAATGAAACCGTCATATATGAGCATGTGGGACAACATGCAGTTCAACTAGAAGATGCATCTTTCTGATTGGCTGCTAATTTAAGTAACGTGATGTCATCACTTCCTGGGATACCCACAGACTATTTTAAGAAGGCCGTGGAGGTACGCATGGAATGACGTGTTTTCTGTAACATTTCGGATTTCCTAGAGATTCTAGATCTAGAATCTACATCTAGATCTAGATGTAGCAATTGGACATGATGGAAGACCGTTAGTTCTAGAGATCGTTGAAGCTCAGAACAGTAAGATTAAGAACGCTGAAGCTTGAAATTGAAAAACGGTAAACACAAAGACAATAAACGGCACGAAAATTGCCATTATATATATAAAGACGCTGGAGGATCTTGAGCAAGATTTCTAGATCTCTAGATTCTCCTATCTCTATCCTCTACAGAGAGTGTACAGTAGAGATGGGGCGAGCGGACGGACGGGTTCGTTACTCGCGGACTCAGTCAGAGCGAACGGGTAACGGACGGCCATGAGAGCGAACTGCGAACCTCAAGACAGTTCGTTTTTTGGGTCCGCTCCACAATTTGACTCTCTCAGAGAGCGGACTGCGGACTTCAAGCCAGTTCGTTTTTTTTGGGTCCGCTCCACAATTTTATTCACTGGGCGGGAAGGCAAACGGACGAACTCTAGCAGACGAGATACTCGACGCGAGGCTAGGCCAACGGTCTATTGTTTGTTAATTTGGTCTATGTTTCAAACCACTAGCGGTGCCACAGGGAGTGAGAGAGGCTGGTGACGTAGTACTATGCGTGTAACCTTTCACCTCGTGCGTGGGGCACACTGTGTACGTTCCAATTATCACAAAGGCCGGGGGGGGGGGGGGGGTTCCGCCATGAACGCCTAGAAATCTAGCTGCAATGTGAGGCAGGAAGGTGATTTTTTAATTTAAAATTTTATTTTTTTTTTGGGGGGGGGGGGGGGGTAATAAGTTGTATGCAATGGAAGGAGTCGCTCCCGTCCGTCCGTCCGCCCGCTCGAATGCATGGAGTCTCTCGGTCCGCCTGTCCGCTCGCTCGCTTAACGAACTGTTGGGTCTGTTGTATCTGTCCGATGTGTAGTGAGTAGCGATCTACTCTTCACAAACGGACGGTTCGTTACCCGTCCGCTCGTTTGCGGGTAGTGCCAACGAGTAGTTCGTTACTCGCGGGCGCTAATTTTGCGAGCCCGACCCAACACTAGTGTGTATAGCCTTCTTCTAATCTACTTGATTCCCACTTTTACTGGGTTTTTTTAGGCGGAAGAGGCTAGCCGTACTTAATGATGGCTAGACTGGCAGTCTAGCCGTACTTATTCTTAATTAATATGATGGCTACACTGACCATTTACAAAAAATAGGCCAACTGAATTGTAAATATACATTTTTAGTGTGCAGTACCTAAAGTATTTGTATTTGAGACAAAACCAGGTTCCTTAATGACAGTGCATGTATTTTAAACCTCCTGTTTTCTAATGTAAATTGGGCCTAAGATAAGTACTTCGTTTTTAGGCAGGCCTACTTGATTTAGAACAAAAATAGTCACCAGGTGAAATCCTCTAACCGTTGTCCTCTTCTTACAGTGGTAGATTCTAGATCTATTTGCAAAGTCAAGAATAAATAAGACTTTATCTTAGACTATCACCAAGAGGAATTAGAGTCGAAGTGCACAGAACAGGACCCAGGACAGGGAGCATTGATTTGAATTGAAATTCTTTCTTACCCGTTCACTACTTTGCAGCCTTGTGCCAGAGTCAAATATGAACAAATCACTGACTTCGTAAGACATCTTTGAGCACTATAGCATCACCACCAAGTAAAATAGCACTTTAAAGTCACAAAGACTTTGAAAAAAAAATTAATCTAGCATAGACAAAAGGCTAGGCAACTTCACGACTGCACTCTGCAGTGATCGTCGGAATCGGAGTTCGCCGTTGTCTCGGAGCCCGGAAGTCCCTGCTTTCGCTTTTAGTTTTCTAAAATTCCCGGTGAAAAATAAAAATATTGACGACGAGACCAGTAGGCAACACCGTTCAGCAAAACACAGCTGAAACTTCCCGAAACAAACAACAAGCGACGAAGAGGGTCCGCCCACTGCCGACAAGTTCGTTTGAGGATAATATGCTTTTTTACGCTTTTGATTTTTGTATATGAGTTACTTTGCAACTTTTCCCCTAATTCAGGTACATAGACCTAGATCTAGACTCTAGATCTAGAATCTAGGCCTAGCCCAGTTGCCTTGAGCCTACCTCTATCCCTTCAACCAAAATCGACTAATTTTTTTCTTAGTGACATTTCATCTGAAGCCTTAATTCACCCCCTGAAACTTGTACATATATATTATTATTATACATACCTACTTGAGTATCTCAGTCTATAGACTATAACTCGCACCCTGAAACCTGACCATTTCAGTTTCAGATCAGTACTGTCACCAAAGATCCTCTGACCAGGCTACCATCACAAGGCTAGGGAGGAGAGAGTGGGAAATTCAGCATACATGTTTTTTTTTGTCAAAACAAGACTATAGGCCTACAGTAATATTTAAAATACATTCTTTACTTTTCTGTTCATCCCAAAGCAAATCCTGCACACAGTGACTATAGTGTGCCAGCCGACTGTCACTGTCTGTACGCCATGGTGAACAAAAAGGCCGATCTATTTCCAAAGCATTGGGTAGAAAACAGAACTTCAATCAGATCAACCCGTACGGCACTGCAGATGTCAGAGTACTGAAATCAATCTCTGTGGTCTCATTATAGCAAGGCTCTCGGACTCGTAACCGTTAAGGTCGTGAGGGTCATGAGTTCGAATCCCATCAGAAGCTGTCCTTAGGAAAGATACTTTATCATGCTATAAATTCTCCTCACTTCACCCATGTGGAATGGGTACCCAGGTAAAGACAGCAAAAGGTGTTAGGCTAGTTTGTTAGTGTTTAAGAGTGCTCTGCAGAAACTGAATGCTTTCCAAGAAGTCGTTCATTTTTTCATGAATGTTTCTGGGGTGTAATTTAGAGTGTAAAGTGCATGCATAGAGCTTTCTGTCGAGCGGGAATATGCGAGCTACTGTATTGCTATTTATTTTTTTATATATTCTTAAAATTATGGAATTGCAGTCGACCCCACTTATACTTGTGCCTATGTGTAGCTTTAAAGAGTTGATCTTCCGTTAAGTTGATCTTTTTCTCAGGTCCTGCCGAGCTCTCTTTCTTTACAGGTCCCAATGGTTAAATTCAGTTTTGGATGAGTTTTTATTTTTTCTTTCCTCTGACAACATCAATTCATCCGTTGTCGACTGATGCACCTAAGTACTGTTATCAGTGAATCTACCCACCCCACCAGGCACCTTACTCCTTTCATCTCTCCAGTTTTTTATTCAAACATTTTATAAAAACACTATTCCTTCTTTTTGCTTTTACATGTATGTACCTGTTTACTTTGCACATTTTTTTTTTTTTACTTATAATATGCAATAGACTGGTATTTTGATTTTTGCTTCAAATTTAATCTATTCATAGCTCTGCTGCTGCTGTCATTACCTGCATGTAAAGGCACATAATATGATGTGAATTTACTGTGGGCCGTTGTTCCAAGGTGGGTCTTAAGCCTCATCAAAGACAGTCTGTGGCCTCTTCTGCAGCTTCAGGTGCGAAAAGGGGCATCACAATTATGAGATATCAGGGTGGGGTGGGGGGGGGGGGGGGGGGGTGGGGGGGAGAATTTAGAGTGTTTTGGTTCATGATAACCTCTATTTAACTAGCTATACCTGGTCTTAGATGAAAGATTTTATCCAAAAAATACTATCAATTCCATGTAAAGTATATTTCTCTATACTGTCACAATTTTTGCTTTTTTAAAATCATTGTAAAGGATGCCTAAGAAGTAGCTATATAAAAAGCTATAATTAGATTTCCCAATCAGTATTCCCTGCATGGTTACATACATATATATATATATATATATATATATATATATATATATATATATATATATATTGTAAATCCCATTCTATAATGATATATTGCAGGTTGGGCCTTGTAAACAATTGAATTTCATGTCATAGAGATTAAAGTGATCCTTGGGGAATACACAATAACTCAATTATGCCTTTAAAGACTTTTACAATAGGTTTTTATGAATTGATTTAGGGTGTAGGCTAGAATTAATGTTAGTTGTTAGCCAGTTAAAATGGTCGTTGCCCATGAAGAAACTATGTTACGTTTAACAATTTAAAGTTCTGTTAATACCTAACAAGTGGGTTCTTTAAAAATAAAATTGAATTAGGGATAAGTCCATGAATGGAACCTGGAGAATTGAGATATATGAAATATTAGAGTTTATTGTCAGCAAGTGAGATGCTCCGCTGAAACCTCAGAGTTATAAAAGACTGTAAATCAATTAGATCCTATATAAAACAGTATTTAGTTTTGTCTGCCAGTCTTGTTTTCTGATTATAATTCAGAGTTAGTCAGAGAAGGCAGTTATTTCCAGCCACATGTTTTCACTCTCAAAAACTGTTTTATATTTTCAGAGGGTCAATTTGTACAGATGGCAACTCCACTTGAGAAGGAAGTGGGCAAGGTTCTGTGTGTCGGTCTTGCTTGTGTTGACTTTGTTAATGTCATCGGCCAGTTTCCACAAGAAGATTCAGATCAAAGGTATCCAATTAATCCTAAAGGGAATTCTAATTCTTATTGTACTAGCTGGGTATCCATTCGATGAACGGACTCAAAAGAATCGATCGTCAAGTCATTGTGGATTCAGTACGCACTGCTTATGAACGGAAACCTCACTTGTTTACCAAGGCGTCCTAGACGACGGACTTTTCCAAGATAACTAATAAAGAACTAAAAATTAAACTACAGTGACTTCAGACTCCTTATAACTGTGCACCCTTTAACTTTAAATGATTCTGAACCACCATTAATTTTTTCAAATACAAAAGTTAAATGGTACGGAAGCTTTGGACGACCAAAGTGACAAACTTTTACAAATATAATATAGATCTAGATAGCAGAAAGGGTTTCACAACTTCTAAAATTCTCTCATAAAGTTTTCAGTGAGGTAAGGGAGCCGTAAATGTGGGATGTTTGCTTCTCTTTGTGTTCAGTTTTCAACATGGTTAATTACATCTCTTCATATTTTTTTTGTCATCGCATAATTTATAGGTAAAGTGTACATGCAGTGGCGGGGCGTAGTGAAGGGCTTGAGCCCCACCCACCTCTTTCCCTCCGTAAATTAATGTTTCTTCTAATAAACAAGTTAGAGGCTAATCAGTTGGAACCAGTAGAAGAATTTCAGAATCTTCTGCCTCTGCCTTTAGTTGCATGCGGTGAGCACACACACTTGCTCGTTTATCCAATCACTGTAGTCACCGCTTACAACGATAGTAACCTAACAGCCAATCAAATGTGTTTAGGGCTCAGCAAAGGATGAGCCCATTCCCATGGTCCATTTTTAATGAAAGTCTTCTTGAAAAAAGATAAAAGAAACAAACGAGAGCCCGCGGAAACTGTTATTAGAGAGGGCTCGTTCTCTGCCAGCCCAGACAATGGGGGGAAAGTTCACGATACACTTTATTTAGAGACTCAGTAACCAAAACACGCTCATGGGCCCACGTTTTAGGAATGTCTTGCTTTCTGCGACCCCATGGCCTAGTCCAGTTACTGTTGTATGATGATGTGTGCGTTTGCATGTTTTATTAATTAATGTTTTTTGGGGGGTTTTTTGGTAAGTGTTTTACAGCACTCGCAACTGTATAAGGTCATATGAGCGCGTTTGCGCGTGAGTGTGTGAATGAAACATACTCACACATATCTGAAATGTCCACTGAACCAAGGAAATCTTACCTTTGAACTCTACCTACCCTGATTTCTCAGCCCCACCCACATTTAGAATCACCCTCCGCCACTGTGTACATGATTGCTTTCTCGGAAATCTCGAGAGGAGGAAATTGAAGATACGACCCACAATTTTGTGGAGTGTGAAATTTACTCTAACTCTAATAATAACCATTGATTGGTGCTCATTAAAATCTAAATTAAGGTATCTTCATATATCCTTCATGGGGTCTCACCAACTGCCTTCCTTAAAGAGATGAGAAAGTTTAAGTAAGAGCCTGGTTTGTCTAGGCAGGTGAGCCCCTGAGTGTTTTCATTACTTCAAGCAGGGTCACGTAAGCTGGAAAATCTCACTTGAGGGGTGACATAAGACTGAGAGTTAAGAATTGGGTCCTCTAGGTGACAGGGCATGATCCACCAGCATGTAGAACGTGTTGTGACTTTACCCACCTAGCATACAGTTTATGGGCAAATGATGTAAGAAGGAAATAATTAAAATGGGTTTTTATTTTCTTTTGAAAAAGGAGGACGGGAGGAGAAGGGGAGGAGAAGAAGGTTGTTGATGTTGATTTTGTTGTTGTTGTTGTTTTTGTTATAAATTTTTTTGTTTTGTTTTTGTTAATTGTTGGTATGTTTTTGTCAGCTTTTTTTGGTGGTGATTTTGTGCAAGGGTAAAATAAAACAAAATGCGTCTGACGGGTAAGACCAAATGCCATGCTAAAACAAACACATGGGTCGCCACCACTCGGAGAACAAGCGAGGCTTCGGTCACAAGTTCATGTTGACGTCCATTGTTACTTTGTTACAGACTGGGTCAAAAGTGACCACTCATCTCCCTTAAGATTTATGTATGCATTGTAGGCTGGACTTATGGGTTATGAGGGGTCACACGCTTACCTCACCAGCAGCTGAAAATTTATTGTTTCCTATTGGTCAACAGTGGAAGGAGCCTACGCACCATGATCGGTTGGAGGGACCATCTAACAATAACTACAGGTGATTGGATTATGACAGCTCTTCCACCACGCCTGGGGCCAATATATATTTATGACAAAACATCAGGACAAGTTTATTGGTTGGTGTGTGATAAAATATGGTGGCCACAGCCGTATTGAACCAGTGAACGTTTTACACAGTGAAACCAAAAAAACGCAGTAGGGGAAATGGAAAGTGGCGGTTTGTACAGATGGTCTTCATGGCAGCTTCGACTGTATTTCAAAACCATTACCATACCCCAGCAGACCTTAATTTTCTTAGAAACGTTTTCGTCTAACCATGAAGTATTGGTATAGAGCAAGTAGCTGATTACAGGCTCATATAATAACAACCTGACAAGATCTTCTGCTGTCTGTTGCCAGGTACCCATTTCCACCTGAGCTGAGTGAAGTGAGGAAAAGTTCCTTTCCCAAGGACACAATATTGGGCCCCCCCAATGAGTTCAAACCCACAAACTTTCAGGTGCCAGCCCAAAAGCTTATACACTAGACCATCAACACCACAATACAAAATATTAATGCTCTGTTCGTATATAAAGTATAAACATATTATTCTATTATATATAAATTCCTTTTGATAATCCACCCTGTAACAAGCAGCTAGTAACCTTTAACTTTAACACAAGGTTTCAAGGTACAAAGATGGCTGCCTCTCTGTAAAATCACATATAATTGTGTTCTCCCAGGGGACTCAAGTATTACTGGCAGAGAGGTGGAAATGCAGCAAACAACAGTACAGTGCTGTCTCTTCTGGCTGTTCCTGTAGAGTTCATGGGAGTCCTTGGAAATGCTGGAGCTGAGGCGTGGTACAGTTTTTTGCGTGGGAATTCTTTCTCTTAGACTTCTTCTATGATGCTCTCCTCCTCTTCCTCCTTCTCTTCCTCCTCCTCCTCCTGATCCTCCTCCTCTTACTCTTTCTTCTTCTTCTCCTTCTCCTTCTCCTTCTTCTTCTTCTTCTTCTTCTTCTTCTTCTTCTTCTTCTTCTTCTTCTTCTCCTCCACCTTTTTCTTCTCCTACCCCTCTTCCTCCTCTACTTTTTCCTCTCCTGCCCCGCTTCCTCAGTCTCCTCCCCTGTGGAGTCAACTGTAGATTTGAGATTTGGTTTGGGTGGGTGAGGGAGGTTAACAGTACATGGGATATCTTTTTTACTGTAAGATCATACTTTTTCAGCTCTAAGCATTATTGTTTTTGCAGGTAATGTAGGCCTACTTGTTTTACTCTCCATTATCTTTATCTTTTTGTAGGGACTAATGCAAAAGTTTGTTTGTTCAGCTGATCCTCCACTACTTTCTGCAGCTGTATCTACGTGTACAAAGTTCACTCTGGAGGAACACCGAGCTTATTTGATAGGACTAATATGTAGCTACATTTTGTACTTAGATATATTATATTATTATGTTTCCATTGGGGTTGTGAAAAATGTGGGGGGAAAATCCCAATACTGGAACTCGGAGCTTATTAGGACTAGAATATATATACATTTAGGCCTACATAAATATGTTTCCATTGGGGTTGTGAAAAATGTGAGAAAAAATCCCAATACCATTGTCTGACTTTACTTACTCAAATTGGAAATTGAACCTGGTACGTTGGCGTGAGAGCAGAGGTTTTTTCCCCTAGACCAATGAGCCCCCACCCTTTCTGCAACTTCAACCCCCCCCCCCTTCAGAAAAGTAGATATCTCACAATATCTCTCTTCAACTAAAAAAAAGAATGCTGCAGTTTAACTCTTTTTTTATCTCCTGCAAACCACTCCCAGCAGTTCGCAGTGAGCCGCTCGGGTAGAGCTTCATTCCTTTACGACTTTGGCATCAATTAATTACTTTTCAGCAATTGGAAAACAGGTCTCTTTTATGGGGAGTTCATTCATTAGATGAAGAACTATCAAAATAATTGACTTGTAATGACCCATTTAGTGATGTTTTCGTCATTTTTGGATTTTGTACTTGTACCACCCTACCACAATATGCCGAAGGCCCAGGAAGTCGTCTCACTAACAAGGTAATCCCTAATGTCCGGATCGGATGCAGAAACAACTTTTTACATTTACCAAAAAAGGGGCCCTGCATAGTAGATAGTATAGTGGTTTACCCCCCTTGGAGATCAGATAAAGAGTTAAGAATTTTGCTTCTGCTGTGTATTTATAAATTGTCTTTTTCTTTCATCGCTGTTTTTTCAAAGTTTTTTTTTATTCTAATCAAATTTATTCTTTCTTTGACTACCTTCACATACAATGAAAAAAATCAAGGTCCATGGTGTATGTTCCTTCTCCTTTTCAGTTGGATTCAGGAAGATTTCAGTGCGATGGGAATTGACACCAGCCACTGTGTCATGGAAAGTTGTCTGTGTCCTGTGTCCACATGCATTTTGTGCCAGACCACAGGGTCAAGAACTATCCTGCATTATCCCAGGTATGTCAAAGTTTATTACGATAATAATAATAATAATAAAGATAAAAATAATAATGATTGCATTTATATAGTGCATATCCATGCTCTACAACATGCTTTGTTCACTTTACAACCATTACAACATTAAAAGGAAATTGTTCTAAAATTGAGTCATATAATTCATGGAGTTCGGAAGGATGAATGTTTCCTACACCTTAAATCTCATATGTATATATGTAGATGTCTTCAAAGACACATCAGACCCTGCTCTGCAAGGACTTAATTGATCTCAATGTTCTTGAACTCATTAGATATAGAGAGTCGAATCTCTCATTTTATTAAACCGCTTTAAATTGTAAACTCAATCCTACTCTGTTCGAGAAATGCTAGTAAAGTCTCGAGGTTCTATTTTTAATAACTATTTTTACACTTACAATCATAGTCAGGCAAATCTGGTATTTGGGGTGGACTGGCATCTGTGATATACAGTTTAAGCTGGGTTTTTTAAATGTGTAGAATATAAGTTTAATTCCCAGGTGGAGAGAAATTGTTATGATGTCTTTGTCTGCTAGATTGTGTCCCACACAGCCAAAAGTAACCTACTTCTTCTTGTGGGTGGGTTCTATGTCGGCAAATGATGCCATGTTTTTAGTAGAACTTTATAATAATATAGTCTATTTAAAGGAAAAATAAGGAAACAGTTCTTTTTCTGAGTTACATTTTTCAGGAGTGCTGTCATGAGTATGATCAATATCATATAGAATAGATAATTGGGACTAGAGGGTGTGTCACTGTCTTGAAATTAGGCCCTCTTGCTCCTGTGTCTTTGCTATATTGCATATTTTATGGGGTTTTATTGCTTTCCTGAACAAACTTGCTTCTTTCTTGAATATTTGTAGGGACCAGCCAAAATTAACATACCGTGCCTTTCATGAGAAACTGAAAAGGAATTTTTCTGCATATGCACAGGTTCATTTTGAGGTATGTTCACCAGTTTTTCTGTTTAGTAGATTAAATTTGATCGTTGGTGGGCAAATTTCATCATATGATCAAGGAGAACCATTAAATCAAAATCCTTTCTCTGAATGTGTATTACGAAAGGATAGAGATATCATCCAAGTAACTTAAAGTAGTACCGTACGTAGTCATTGTTGTTGTTTGTTGCCAATTTAGCAGTTGCTGAACAATCACTACTATCTTTCTTTGTGATATAGTGTTTCAAATCTTTTTCACCTAAGAAAAGATAATAATAGTCAATTATCTCTTGATGGAAGGTGACAATTTTTCTCCTATATATTTATTCTGCACAGTTTTAGTGGGATAATCTTTTTTTCTCGTCTATTCTTCTTTCTTAGTTACTCACCCCAGTGTTATTCAGTTTGACTGGCCCCTCAGACCTTCGTTTCTATAGACTATCTTGACTTGTAATTGTCTATCCTTTTATTCATTATGCATTGCATACATGATGTGTGGCATTGTGATGAAATCAGTCGCTCATTTAAAAAAATGATACTGAAAAAAAAGTGACATTTTTCCACTCGTTGGGTAATCTTTATCAAATGGGGGGTTCCTAGAAATGGCATTTTCTTCTCGTTGGGGTATTTTTTTGACTCAACATCTTTTAAGTCCATTTAAAAACACTTTTCGGTCTGAATTTTACGGAAAAATGTTGAAGAAAGACGAACAAAAAAAGCAAATTTGACATTTCCAGGGACACTTAAACATTGGAAGCCGTCTAACTTTGGCGGCCATTTTGGGGGGAAATTTTAGCTCTGACACCAGGACCTCCATCCCCTTCAATCAAAAATATCTTCTACTTCTATTCAAGGTAGATGGGTATTTTTTTCATCAAAAGCAAGACAAATGAACAAGCTTTAAGATGACACCAAAAACTATACCCCATAACTGATGGTATTGTGACACACATATGTATATATACATGTAAATATGTATGTCGACAGCTTAATCAAGTTAGTGTAAGACTCCGCAATAATCCATTTAGAAAAGTGACGTAAGGACTTACACTGGCAATCCATATTATTTTTATTTCATCTGATCTAAGTGTGGTTCTCCAAATTTTCTCTGTTTGTAGTGTTTAGACTGATCATTCCCGACGTTTGTGTCATCCAAAAGCTTGGGAGCAATGTTCAAGACTATGAGCTCATGATGGAAGATGTGCTCAGCTATAACACAAGTCTTGGGACAAGCTTGAAGCAGCCCGTGGTCATATCCTTAGAGATAGAGAAACCAGACATATCAAACTCAGGTTTGTGTGGTTGTTTCTGCATGCACATGCACAGCATGAAAGCATGCTATGCTCAAAGACACATTTCTGTCATGTGACATATTCTTGAGTGTTAAGTTTCTTTTGTGATTACTGTCTTTTCTTCTGAAAAAAATCTTCGATTTCCAAAATCTGCCCTGTGTTGAACTTGAACAGGGAGGAGGATAAAACTCACACTGGTGAGGCCCTTAACCAATTGGAATTATGTGATATCACAATTGAAGAAAACACACTGCTGGACTTAATGTTTACAAATTTGCATGTAATACACTTCAACACTTCTTAAGACGGGAACTGCATTCCCCACATCTCTGTAGTCCTCATCTTTCTCTCTGTTTATCCCTACATGACACTGGCTCTCATGAATCTGTTGTTATGAATTATGTTTACGAATCCGAACTTCTGTTTTGGATAAAATGGTGTTTAACACATGTCATTTGCTTGATCCCACAGAATTATAGTATTCATTTCATCTAAAAATAAAATTGTTTATACTGATTTGTTCATCTTGACATTAACATAACTTTGTAATCGTGAAGTGAAAATGGTGGTTGTTGTGTCTTTGCAGAAGCAGTGATGTCAAAAGCTGATATTGTCTTCATCAGCAAAGACTTTGCCAGCATACAAGGATTTGAAGATCCAGTTTCAGCAGTGAAAGGGCTCTATAATCACTGTCACAAAGGGTAAATCTTGGCTCGAAGCTGAAAAACAGTTTTATTCATGAACATCACTTTCTGCTCGCCCCTCAATTCTGGAAATACAAAAGTGTTTGTAGGCAAAAAAAAGAAACAACTGATCATGTAATGCTGTCAGTCTTATGCCCTTTCAACTATTTCAACACTATTTACATCATTTCAGAGGCTGGTGCTTCAACCCTGCATTATACCTCAGCCAACTTTAGCTGTGAAGGATTCATTGCCGCATAATGAAAGGAATACTAGAACAGATCAGATAATAAAGATAACTTCTCTACATAAGAATAGAATTTGTATCCATTACTGATAAGGTGAAGAGAATAACTGTAACAGCATTTTACTGTAAATTCTAATAATCAGATGAAATTCTGGCTATTTACATGTGTTTAAAATAGTAAATAGTTCCTTGTATTCAATTAGTCTTTCTTTTATGCATTTTTGTTCCGTACTTTCCAAGAAGCAGCAAGGTGCATTTCTTATACTAGTTGTACATGACCTCACCGTAAATACCAATTGTCGCTATTGTAAAAGACCAATTATGTCCAAGACCTTAGAATATTACCCAAAATCAAATGTTGTGAGATACAAAAAAGAAACCACTTTTATTGTAAACCAGAGATGTAGAGATGTATTGTAAAAATACATTATTTCAGTGTATAGCATAACTGACATTCGAAAGTTTGGAAAAGCTATAGAGCTATAATAAAATTTCCCAATGTGACATTTTCATTTTTTCAATATTTGCACAAGTCCCTTGTGATTTTTAGTTTCAGTATTGTAAGCAGTGTTTATCGTTATTTCTTTAATAATACTGAGTCTCTTTTTGAAAAAAAATATTATTATTCTTGTAACTGAAAATTTATTTTGAAATAAACAAGTTTTACAACTTCATCTTTATTCTTATCTGCTTTTCAGCAAGTGTGCCCTCTTCAATTTTTTAATTTATTTCCCAACAAATAACTCAACGTTTATCTTTAAATGTATGAATTGTATCTAGAAAGCTTAGGTCCCTCACAGCACTATTTATTTATTTTTCAGAGCTGTTCTGATCTGTGCATGGGCAGAGTTGGGTGCTGCTGCAAAATTCAAGGATGAAGTTCTGACGGCATCAGCCCTGACAGGCGTTAATGCTGTGGACACTCTTGGCGCTGGCGATACTTTTGTTGCAGGTTTTATAGGTCATGCTTTGAAGAAAAGAAAGAGTTCAGGTTTAGACAGCAGCATCATTAGAGATTCCCTTGAGTTTGGATGTCAGTTAGCCGGTAGGAAGTGTTCCATGTATGGGTACAATGGTTTAAAAGAATTTTGGTGAACATTTTTCAGGTTAAAGTTTGTGTGAGTAAGACAAGACTTGTGGTGGTAGTCCTGTCATAAAACAAGACAAACAAGCCATAGCCTGCTTGAAAGCTTGGCTTGATTAAACAAAAAACGTAATACTTGTTGAAGTGTTAGGCAACGACTGACGATAATACACTGGTGAATGGACACTGAAGACAGCACAGCTACATAACACACTGTGCAGCACTCACCAATGCAGTGACAGACCAGACAACAAGTGAACGGAGATGCAACAAGAGAAATATCACCACCCATGGTGTCAAATATGACCCCACTAATGACAAAGTTGAAAGTTTTTAGGACTTCGGTGCAGCTGAATGTTCCAAATTGTACCCAAATGTGTGTCCACTCTACCAGAAGATGCTGGACACAGGAGAAAATGCCTGATAGTCTTGACAGTGCTGCACACAAAAATTTCTATGTGAAAAGAATTATGACAAGACACAAACGATCAGCCTACAGGCACCCTCAGAATACTCTGATGCCTTGCATGAAATCCTGGCAGTGGCAGAGACAACATTATGGAAAACTGCCTCTGTACATATCTGCATGTTTCTGCCCTAAGAGCAAGTCTTATTCGCAAGGTTATGTCATCTTCTGAGGGAATTACACTTCAGTGTGAGAGCGACAAACCTTGTAAGGTCTATTTCCTGACCAAAAACCTGTCTGTGAACATCCAACTATATTGTCTCATCAAAATTACCAACTGCGATTATTCAGTGAAGGTAAAGTCATCTGAAAGAAAAATGCCACCTTTCAGGCATCATCAGTAGGGAAGGTAAGAAAACGCAGTCCAAGTACTGAATGGATTCTTTTATGTTGGTGAAGTCGGTTTTGCTGTTGAGTTGTTTAGCTTGTAATCGCTTGACTTATCAATATTTTGAATCATGTACAGTGTAAACCATGTGTTTATTATTCACACTTGAAACAGGGTTAGGGGACGAGTTACCATGATGCTGATAATTTACAAATTATAGGGAATAAACAAAGTGATGTCAGCTAGGGTACATAAATGTCAGACATAATTACCCAAGATGCCACATCTCGGCGAAGCATCAATAGAGCAGCTGTAATAGAAAGAGATCACTACAGTGATTGTAACAAAAGGAGGTCACTGGTGCAAATCTAACGCAGCATGGTCATGTATTACACATTCTGTATCAAATGTGGCTCAGCATCAGCAGTCGGTAGTGAGAACTCGATTTGAAATGTCTTTTCTGGTTTGACAGTACAGTTTATCCTGTTCTTAGACAACACTGGCCCACACCCACTGCTCATGATAATTGGCACTGTTTATCGTCTTACTTTGAAAGTAGGTCACTGCGTCACCATCTCGCATTTGCTTGCATTGTTGCAACGAACTGCCCGCCCCACTTTACTTTCAACTCTCTCTACACTAGTGTACAGACCAGGGCACATAAACATCAGACATAATTATCCTGAATGCCGCTTCCCAGGAAAGCATCATTAGAGTGATTGTTACAAAAAGAGGTCTCTAGTAGTAGTGGGTCTGTAGACTCTCTGACATGACCTTGGTCTGGTACCACATTGTCTCTCCGCGGATGGTGAGACTTGTAACAGAAATAAAAGACTGAATGAAAAGTAGACACTGGGCGATAGATGTGCCACAGATCTATGTATTTTCCTTTTCTTAATTGTGGTACATAATACATATAACTATTCAACTATGAATAATTGTAAAGTGCAGAGAGCATGCTATGGACTCTGAGAAGCATGGATATATCATTATATGCACTATATAAATGCAAATGGTATAAATATTACTTGCGCATCTCAAATTATGTCCGGTCAACCTCCCTCTTTGATGAAACTAAATAAAATAAGATAAAGATGAGATAAAAGATGTCACAGAAAAAGAAAGGAACAATAATTGATAGTGATAAATAAGGAGTGGGTATCCTATGTAATAAAACAATTTGATTCTTTGATCATTAGTTATTTTGTATAAACTTGATCCTGCTCAATAAAATAACAGCATTCAGATATAATAGAGGGACATCATGTCCGTCCCTGCAGCCCTGTTGTAGCTGGGGGCCCACTCTACTAATATGAAATGCACTTCCCTCTTGCAAGCAAAACCACAAGGATGTTAACACGACATAAGTACTTAGTGGATGGCAATCGAGTAATGATTGAAGTGTTCAAGTGTATCCTTTTGAGACACTTAAAATGATTTAAAAGATTAAAATGTACAAACATGCTCAGGAGTAGTGGTCATTGTGTTGCAAGAGTTTGTTAATGTGAAGTCCACTATATTAAATATTGTCAAATGTTCCCTGTGCTTTGATTATATTGCATTAAAAAAAACACCCTGAAGTGGCAGTGTTTGTCTCCAGGTAATCAGTATTATCAATATTGTCATCAGTATGTCATATGATAAATTGAAATTTTGTGTGCAATAGATACTTTACATGATTTTTCTAAGACTCTTACTACAAAGTTGTAGTGTCTTTTTGTGAAACTGTACTGTCTTTTGGCATATATATAATTATTAATAAAGTCTTGTAGATTTGCAATTCAAACTTTTGTCGAATTTTTGTGTGTTGCAATGTTGTGGAATCAAGCGTTTGTCAATTTTTTGGGCATTTGGAGTTACTGACATTATCCTACACCTTGTTCATTTGTAATTTGTCTTGCTTTCCATGGGAAAAATATGCATCTACTTTAAATATGAGTAGAGATAATTCACCAATTGTGATTGAAACTGGTGGGGATCCTCTAGTTTCCGAGATAAAATTAGCGAGAAAATGGCAGCCAAAGTTTGGTCTAATTCCATAGTCTTTGGATAATGCAAATTTACATTTTTTGGTGCCTGTTATCAAAGTTTTCCGTAAAATCCACATGTTCATGTGTTTGAATTAATATAAGACGTATTGAGTTAATTGAGCCAAAAAAACAAAAATTCAAAATAATTTTCAAATGGGAAGAAAAATACAGTCGAACCTGAGTAAGACGACCACCCATTGTCAAGGAGGAAAGTGGCCGTATAAGACAGGTGGCCGTCTTAGGCAGGACTGATCAAGATGAAGAAAACAAACCATTCCTTTCTGAGTTCCCATTGAAGATAGCCGCATAGTTGTTGTTATTGTTGTTGTTTTCGTTTTTTTTGCTGTGGTTTTTTTCCATAATTTCGTTGCTGCTTTTGTGCAAGAGTGACAATAAAATGAAATGTGTCAGACAAGGAGGACCGAGTGCTTTGGTAAAACAAACACATGGGTCGCCACCTCTCTGAGAACGAGTGACGCCTTCTGTTACAAGTTCATGTTGATGTCCTTCGTTACTTTGTCACAGACTGGGTAAACAGGGACCGCTCATCTCACTTACGAATTGTCTAGTTGTGGGCGGGGCTTATGAGGGATCACACGCTTACCTCATCAGCAGCTGAAAATTTGTTACCTATTGGTCAACAGTGGGAGGGGCCTACGCAATATGATCTGTTGGAGGAACTACCTAACAACAACGACAGGTGATTGGATTATGACGGCTCGCCCACGTCAGGGGCCAATACACAATTTTTGACAAAACGTAATAGTCATTAAGGTGGCCGTCTAAGACAGGTGTCATTGTTTGGTGTTATAGGGGTTGAGTGTTAAAATATGGTGGCCGCGGCCACGTTGCACAGGTGCCCATTTTACACAGTTAAAATATATAGAAAAAACGAAAAGGGGGAAATGGAAAATGGCCGTCAGGGCAGGTTCGACTGTACCAGTTTTGTTCTATTTGATTATTTTGAAGAGCGCCTGATTTCTCCCCGATGCCTCACATATTATCTTAAAGTGTTATGTCTACAGTGATTGTTCAGGTGCTGAACATGATGCATCATTCAGTACCATTTGACAAAATGGCCCATCTCCTCCTCCTAAACCAAACATTATCATGTCCCAGAACCTTGTTGGAGGCAGGTTTTCTTGCCGCCAATTACATCATGTATGAATATATATCCATCGTCATCATAATCCTTTCTCTTCTTACCCCATGCCGGAGTATATGCCATCAACAAGACCTCATCATTTACTTATTGGCTGGGCTGTAATCCCTACCTCCATCCAGCTGTATCCCATTTGTTTAAGATCAAAATTTAAGGAGCCCCTCCTCCAAGTACTTTATTTGGCCTTTCTCTCTTTCCAAAAGGATTCCATCTAAAAGTTTTAGTTTAGTTTTTATAGAGGTTTTACGGCACTCGCAACTGCATAAGGTCATAGTCATATGAGCGCCAGAAGAATAGAGGTGTTATAAGAGAGTAACAAACAAAAAAGAAGAAGGAGAGATAAGGACGATAGATGTTTGATAGGAAAGAAGAAGCAAACCACACCAGAGCAGCCGCCAACCACCCACTTGTACTTCTAAAAGTTTGACTTGGTATTGTGTCTATATGCTTCTCTTTAGTCTACCTCAGACTCAAAAGGTCGAGCACAGATAACACGAACACAGAAAACTCTACATCACAGACAGCACATACAGTTTGCCATTCCCCGGCTAATTTTTTGTTAATTAGTTCACCCATATTATGGATGTGTCGAACACACTTGTCAATCCTCACCCAATGTGTTGGAGGTTTGAGTTGTACATGCCCAACTGAGTTGGACTTTCCTTTCCTAATCCAAAAGATTTATGAAAAGGATGCACTGTTTGAATCATTCCCCCTTTTTTTTTCCACATCATCAAGTATGTAAGCAATGCCACAAAATGATACAAATTGTCCAACAATTGTCCTCGTAATACAGAAGAAAGTTTATTTAGATCGTCAGTCACCCAAACATCTCACAAATTTTTAATTTCAACTTCAACTCCAGTGATGGGAGTGACCACCAAAACATGGCTAAATTGGAGTCATAGGGTAACTCAAAATATGATTCTTTTTAAAAAATGGTAAACTGTAAGAAAAGTGTTTGGTCACTCGCAGAAAGAAAAACATTTGGAATGAGATTCAAACATGATAAAATCTCAAGCACGGTCTCATAAAAATATAAGAATAAGGCTATAGACCATTTTCTCAAGTTTGCTTGTTCTATAGTAAGCTGAAAACTGAAAACTAAACAGCTGTTACAATGATATTTCATGCATAACAACCTCTTTTATGACCAGTGCTACCTGAAATCAATGAGACAGGCACTAGAAAAATTCAGCTGGAAAGAATATCATTATCAGAGACACACTGTGTCACATTTACATTAAAAGGCAAGAGAAAAATATTAAAGAGATTCGAATAAGATATTTCAAATGTACACCTTTTAATTTTTATACGGTACCTTCAGAAAACAAAGAAGACATTTTTTTTTTTCAAAAACAAAGTTCTCAGAGCATACATACTCACAGATAAACAGTATTGCAAATGCTACAAAAATGGACCCTTGAAAACTACTAATAACTCCTTTATATAATACAAAGAAAGGAACATACAGCACCATGTAGCAAAGACTTTTCAATTGTTTTTAATGTTTCAGGCAGTTGCTTGGCATAAATAACAAAACTTTGGCCCTACTTAGCCTCTCACTATAAGAAGATAACATTTGACTTCTGTATTGTTCAAATACAATGATGGACTCCAAATAAATGAACAAATTATGGTGATCATTGCTCACAAAACAATATCAGAATGAGAAAATGGAAATTCAGATATTTTGGTAAGACTGATAAGGTCCTGCATGAGATGATGAATTATTCCGAAAAATTCTTATATCATGAACATTATGACAATTGCGACGGTAAACACTGAAAACCTTCAATGTCATAATCATAAATATAAGTTTCATGTGGAAATGTTTTTTGTCTTTTTTCTTGACATAGAAATAAAAAAAATAATATTTTTGAGGATGACCGAAGTCCCAAACATACTTGTCCTCAAGTTAAAACAAAGAGTAAAAGAGCACAAACTTTTACGCCCTTTTGAATTCGGGTTTGTTTTTTAAATCTAAAACTAGTTGCAATTCCTAGCTTTAGGAACATGTCAATACAGCTTACATCAAAATATGCGTTGAAAGCAATTTGAGTTTTTAAAAAAATTTAAAAAATAAAAAAAACATCAACAAAAAACTAGACTAGTTCTCCCTCAGTTCCAGAAAAAAAACACCTGACTTCAGTACTGCAGCACAGTTGCTTTAGTTGATGATCCATTCTCTCACTCCACAAGGCAAGAAAGTAATACCCACAATAGAAGGTCCCTTACCAACAGTAAAAAAGAAAAATAGGGGTACATGTATAAAAGTGGCAATCCACTGATGAGCATATACATATATAAAAAAATTTGAACATTAGTAAGTGTGAAGAGAGACGAGAGATATGTGATATATTGCCTTATTAAGCTGTCCGGAGGATGATGTGGACACCTGAGTCTGTAGAGACAGCTTCGCTCAGCTCTCCCACCTGAGAAATCAAAAGATATACCATTAGTTCAAAACAGACTTTTGTTTAATATTTTTTAAATATCCATAATAAATAATAATCTTACACCTTTCCAATGTCAACACTTAAACAAAGCCCTGTATGAAAAAAGAAAAGACTACTATAAATTATAAGAGATTTGTCTGTACAGTGCTGTACAAAACAATAAAAATCAAAATAAATATGTGAGGCAGCGAGGTGGAATCAGGCTCTCGTCAATTTTTGGGCATGTAGAGTTATTGGTGTCATCTTAAAGCTAGTTCACTTGTCTTTATTTGAATGAAAAAAAAAATGTCCTTTAATCTTGAATACTAATCGAGATATTTGCGAATGAAGGAGGTGGGGGTCACCTGTTTTTTCAGAGGTAAAATTAATGAGAAAATGGCTGCCAAAGATGAGTTACTTTTTTAGCTTTAGATTTAGAGGTTGTGGTAACTGAAAATTTACATTTTTTGTGCCTTAAATCAACGTTTTTAAGAAAAATCCACACAGAAATGAGTTATTTAATTTCATGAAAGGTGCTGAGCCAAAAAACAAAAATTTGATAAAAATTCACAAACCTGCGGAAAAATACAAGTTTCTCCACTTTAATTATTTCGACGAGAGCCTGATTCCACCACGCTGCCTCACATATATTTACAAACAATAACAAATTCCAAAATAAGCATTTTTTTAGTTACTGCGGTGCAGCAGCCCAACATTTCAAAGAGAGCTACTGCTACTATGCCTTGCCCAGGTGCACACCCTCCTGACTTTCCAGTTACTTTATGGACACACACCTTCCATGTACTTCTGCAAGCAACCTTATCTACACAGGAACACCTCAAAATGCACACAGCTCCTGGCATCCTCTCCATCATCATCAGCGGAGCGTTACGCTATGGTGTAAGTGTGAGGTAACTGGGTAGTGAAACTTGCGATGATGCGATACCTCTCGTAAGTAGGTGTTGTGAAGCAAACAATTACAAACTCTGGGAAATGTTCACCATGATGCAAACCAAAAGTACCCATCACATCATGCAGGGCAAGCATGAGACAGAAACACTAAACAAGAAGCTTTGTCAACAAACCTGTTGCACCTACTTTAAAAGTTTGAAAGCATCATTCACTTGTCACTTAATTTCACTTTAGACCTAATTCTAGGAGTAAGGGCACTCTACTTTATTATAAGACCTGCTTAAGGAAATGGGTGTAAAGGATAAACACTGGTTTAAAAAAGATTCTAAACTTTTACAACACAAATTCCCTTGAAGGTACAAAGTCGCAAAGGGAAAGAAGCTCATTCCAGCCTTGCTTTACAAGAGACAAGCAAGCAAAAAAGATAACTTTTTATAAACAACTTTAATTGCTGTTAAGAATAAGTACAAAGCAATAGGAATGAAAATTAAGTGTCAACACTGTGTAGCACATGCAGTACAATTTATATAGGCCTATATATTCAAATACAGTATAACAAGGATAGGTCGAACACAAAAGACTTGAAATCACGCATCTGTCGAACAGTACCTGCGGTCCCTGTTTTTTTTCCCTTATCTTTGCAAGATATTCCTCGAACTACGGATCCCTCGAAATACCAAGGCCAGTCCCAATGAATTCGAGCTATCTGTGTTATGCTGATATGCAAAGAATCCCACTCCACAGCTAAATAAAGGTTCAATCTCCAAGCACTATCTCAGTATACAAATATGGCTTTGTTCTGTTCAGTAAAACTTATAATTTCCTTCGGTTTAACCTACCTGACTGAACCTCATTCGAATCTTGCACGCCAATTTTTAACTTGTGTTTTCACTTCATTCAACTGCATGACACACATCCTACCTTCAACGCAAAAGATGCTTCTTCAAAGGGTTTCTGCATCTGTCCAGGCCCAAAAGATCCAAGATCACCTCCTTTTCTTGCTGAGCTGCAGTCAGAGTACTTCTCCGCAAGCTCTGCGAAAGAAGCCTCTTCATTGACAATCATTTTCCTGTACCCTGCAAAAAGCAAAATAAGATTTTTTTTTAAACTTGCAAACACATCAAATGTAGTCAAAGATTTACTTGTACTAATGTAAAACATGTTTGGTAATAGTCTTTGACATAAACTATAAAGTAATTAGATCTAAAATTTGTTTTCATACTAATCTCTTCACCTACCCCAGCATATCAAAGTAAAGATAATAGAATAAACTAAGAAAATATGAATGGAGAAAGGTGAATTCAATGATGAGTAAAGATTTCAAATATTAGCTAAGACAATATAGTGGTTAGCTTGTTCATCAAAATGTGAACAGATATATAAATCTGTGATAATGGCTGATAAAAGAATGTGTATGAATCGAATAAATTCCCATTCTGCAAAACAAACTAAATAAATGGCAATACTTTTGTCTGGTATGACAGGAAAGTTATTGCTTGTATTGCTATGGTTCATGAGTTGTCTGTGACGTTACTACAGCTCTTCATCGTTTCTACTGGTTTTAATGATGAGCTCTAGAAGTCAAATCAGATCTAGCTCTGCTGACAATGGCAAAATTCTTAACCTTTCTCACACCTTTTCCTTTTCCTCTGTGGGTTGGCAGGTCACACCAGCCTACTGCTACAGTATTATAATATAAACCAAACTGGCAGTGATGCTGTGTCATCGTCCTCATTGCTTCTCTCTAATTCTTCATCGCTTTCCTCACTAGGATCAGAACCATCACACTACTTTATCTCATCTTCAGAACTCCACATCGACACCCCTTCCCCTGTTCCCATTTGTTCTTCAATTTCTTTTTCAGTTTAACACTTACAGTACCATAGGCTGAGGCTCATATAGTGAAAAACCCTCAAACACCACACCAGTGTAGAACGCTGAAGCCGTGGTTGAATTATCTTTTAAATTAAAAAATATTGGCAGCCCAAGAAACACTAAAAATTCAAAGAGGTTCCTCAACCATTTGGCTATCATATAGAGTGACTTCCTTTGGTATTCACAGGAATTTACTTCAGTCCAGTGCGTCCATTTGTTGTTTAATTATGTTTAGTGTGCTTGGTTGTGTCAAAGTCACCAACGGTACTGTAAATGTTAATGCAATGATAAACACTGTGAACGGTGTTTCCCTGTCTCTATTCATTTTGTCTTTTGATTCGAAAATTGTTGAGGCAAAGAGAACAAGTTACAATGGAGCAAAGTTACAACTTTTCACCTCTCACTTCAACTCAGATGTACACTCGAACCTGTCCAAGATGCCAAGACAATTACATATATATTGAGAAAACAGGTAATCTTAGACAGTCGAAAGTGGTTGTTTGTTCAGGAGATGATTGTTTTGGACAGGTGGTCATTAGAGCAGGTGCGACTACTTCTTATCATATATTGTAAATTAAATATATGGATCAGACGCGATTACCAAGTTTTCTTAGTAATATAACAATGGATTTATTGAGAGATCATGTTTATTTCCAGTTTATCAGGTATGAAAAAACTCAATGCATTTTTGCGGACTGTTTAAGGCGGTGAACTGGGAGATGTGCTTAGATTATAAGGCTATAAATAATATTATATCGAAGGTGTCATTGGTTAAGTGGTTTCTAAGGCTCTCGAACACACAACCGTAAAGTCATGGCATGGGTTTGAGAAAATCTTTCATGAAAGAGCCTTAGAGACATCTCGGATAGGAATGGCCCACGCTTTCTCTCTCCCATACACATACACATACACACACCCACATCCACGCACACACACACACATATCCACAAACACACACACACACACATGCACCGCATGAGAATATAATTGAATAAGAGGAACAATTACCATCAAGCAACTGCAAAGCCTCCTCTTTGCTTCTTGTAATTGTTTCTTGTTTCCAGTTTTGTGGCCTCCTTGAGTCACGATGTTTGACTAGGAGGTGAGAACATGTTACTTTGTCAGACTTTTCTTGAGCTGGCTCTGTTGGCACTTCCCATTGGCTCTCTTTCGTATACAAGTTCATGTAATAATCTTTGCCTGAAAGTCAAGAAAAAAAAAGGTGTGGGGTGAAAAGACTTCTTGAGTGTAAAATTATTTTTAGCATGATCACTATTTGTACATGGATGGACAAAAATGTTTTTAAAAACAAATTAAGGGTCAAACATCCATATATATAATATTACATGCCATACTAACAGCAGGGTGGCTGAGTTAGAATGAGAAGATCGATAGACTTTGACAGGACAATCAAAGCACAAAGTACTTGGTTCAAAGTAAAGCAAACCGGGTCAGCGCTACTGACTGATACAAGTGTCTTTAGGTCATTCCCAGGGGGGGCATTAACATCTCGAGTTCTTGTGCACAGTAGAATTGTAATCTTGTAAATGGGCTGATTCATCAATGTCATACTCATAAAACTGTGCCTGAACTGCAACAGGGAACTGCTGCTTTTTCTTTCCTAATCCTTACTATCGTCATGTTTCCTCTACTTCTTTTACAAGTATGTTTGTCACACTCTTGTGACCCGCTATTTCCGGGGTGCCTTGATAGTCAAAGCAGACTTTGTGCTGTTGAAGCTGGAGAGGTGAGCAGAGTAAGTCTGATTCCCTGTAAGAACTTCTGTTGACATACACCCCTTGGCGCTCATCATATGACCTTTAATGCAGTTGCGAGCGCCGTAAAACCTCTACTAAAACTAAACTAAAGTAAAGCAAAGACAAAAACAATGTTAGCTGCTCTGACAAAGCACCTCTCCCTTTTTTGTCTTAAAACTGCAGCATTTCCATTAATTTAATACAAATCAAGGGCAGACAGATACCAAATTATAATCAAGTTGCTTGTTTGTCTTGCAGATTTAAAAATAAAAAAGTTACAGAGATAGAATTTAAATCAAAGTTTTAAAGTACTAACAATCTAGAATCTATGTGTAGCGGAGTGTATTTTATTCAAATTACACCATTTATACTGGCTACAACTATCAATTATTTTTATACTGAAGAATTCAATTGGGAAATTACACATGGTTCAGACAACAGACTAAAATGTGGATGACCCTGGAGCAAGAGTTAGCTAACCAAAGTCATGCCCTCGCATGCCTTGTGACAGTGAGCTTAGGTACAGCAATTGAGCCATTCAAGAAAAAAAATCTTCTGCATTACATTATATTACAGTATAAAGCCATTGTTATACTGAATTATTATAAAATATACGAGGTATCGTGATGAAATCAGGTGCCCGTCAAAATAATGAAACCGAAGAAAAGGGCATTTTTCCTCCAGTTTGACCATTTTTATTGAATTTTTGTTTTTAGTTTTATTAAACACCTTTTATGTCCAAACACATTCCCAGGTGTGAATTTTACTGAAAATGATAGAATGGCACAAAAGGTGAGGCATCGTGGTGGAATTAAGGCGCTCGTCAAAATAATTAAATCGAAAAAACATTTTTCTATCAGTCAGAAAATTATTTTCAAATTTTTTGGCTCAACATCCTTTTAATCCATTTAAAAAACACAATTTTGTGAGGATTTTACTGAAAAACGATTTAAGGACCAAAAAATATAAATTTTCATTTCCCAAAGACTCTTCAAGATTTATGGAAGTTACCAAACTCTGGCGGCCATCTTCTCAATAATTTTACCTATATGAAACCAGGTGACCTTTTTTCTTCAATCGCAAATCTCAACTCCTATATCTATTCAAGACAGTTGATTATTTTTTTTGCCACTAGGCAAAAAAAATTTACAAGCTTTAAGATGATATATATTAATGACACTAAATCAACTAAATGCCCCAAAATTAACGAGCGCTGGATTCCACCACGTCATGACATGTTTTCAGTTTTCAAGGATTCTCAAGATATGATAGAAATTACCAAACTTTGGTGGCCATTTTCTCACGAACTTTACCTCTGAAATCAGGCGACCCTCACCTCTTTCAATGGCAAACATTCTCAACTTTTATTCAACATAGATTGATATTTTTTTCACCAAAAGCAAGGCAAATGAATAGGCTTTAACTCTTTAAGCCCTGAATTTTTTCTACCGGTTCCCGGAGTTCTTTTGTAAGTCAATTAAACCTAGAGCACTATGTCTCATTATAACCCCAAAAGCTTGCTTCCAACTCTTGCAGAGATTTGCTCTCACACCCGCCGCGCATCAAAATATAGATCTAGATCTAGATCTAGGCCCAAATAAGGGGGGTGAGAACTACCGAAAAAGCACCCATAATTTCTTGTACTTACAAACAAAACTTTAAATGAAACGGTCCGGATCGAAAAGGTCGATCATTTGCACAGTGTCGTTGAACTTTGTTTAAACTTGCTTTCGTACGTAGGCCTACTCTTAGTCTTCTTCTGTTCTCAGTTTACGTAGTGTACTGCATCAGAATCAGTCTGGGCGGAAAAAGGGAGCTGCACAATCCAGTCGAACCGAACAGTTCTGGAAGTTGCAAAGAAAACAATCCAATTCGGCAGGCTGCCGTCGTGTGGCCGTGTTGTCATCATGACTGACAAAGTGGGAATCCCTCAATGATGTCAAACAAGAATCTATATCGGCCAATGGTGTAGTTGTCATTTTCTATCCGCTTGTCATTTGTGATTTAGGGAGGAGAATTAGGCCGGTTCTATTTCTCCGAACGTTCGGGAAAATACACTTGAACTTAATATTTCTCCGAACGGTTTCCTTTCTCGAGATTTGTTGATAATAAACAAATGGAGTGGCTCGTGTGTGTGTGTGTGTGTGTGTGTTTGAGTGTGCATGTGTGAGTGTGTGTGTGTGTGTGGGTGTATAGAGACAATGACAAGAAGTGATCACAGGTTGGGCCAACTACTCTAGTTTAGTAACTGAAGAAAACTTCTCCAAGAAAGTTTCCGATACGCATTTCACTTCGAACTCGACTGCTGCATTAGCAGACAACTGACGTTCTCTGAAAAGGATTGATCAAAAGTGGAACAAATCAAGGCACGTAACTCTAATAAAACATATTGCACACGAGCAGCACAAAAAGGAAAAATGGGGGGTGATCTTATACTTTAGCACGTTAAATTCCCAAAGTCTACTGTACTAATCCACGACTCAGACCTTCAAAACTTTGAAATGGCCCTAAAAATGCGCGCATACTAGAACTAGATCTAGACCGTGATTTTGTCATGAACAGATAGTATAACAGTGGTTTTCGGTCTTCCATCATGATTTGGGATACATAAAATCTAGATTGTAGAATAGATTTAGATCTAGATCAGATCTAGAATCTAGATTTTAATAGTGGTCGCTCATTTCGGAAGTCCTCAATTGAAGAATTAAACGTGCAAAAGTATAAGTATTTAAGTATTTATAAGATCACCAAATGGGGAACTGGTCGCGCTCAGGGCACTGTCGCACCAAGGGCCGATGTCTCTAGTCCTACAACATCTCGTCAGACGTTGCTTCAGGCCGAGTGGCCGCTGGGTCGAGGGAATCTCAATCTCTCAGTCTCACTCAGAAGCCTGTCGTAACTCAAGTGTCTCACTGATGACTGACTCAGGCCGTCAGTCAGGGTCCTCAGTCTCAGACTTCAAGTTTCTCGCAATAGTTCTGAGCAAAGATTGCCTGTATGTTGGACATTGTGGAACTCATTTACCATAACAATACATTATAATATAATAACTTGCAGTCATGGCTTAACACCTCTTTACCTTTATTCTATTCAACCTACCTGTTGACCGGCTCGATCTTTTCTCCCAACCTGGTGGTAAGTCCGACATTTTGATTTTGGAATTAATTTTTTTAGCAGAGTTATTGCTCTTCACTCTTCCCTCGTTATTTTCGTCACTTTTATAGTTCTACTATTTTTTTTGTTTTAATAGTTTTTAATAGAGGTAAACATAATTATTTAAACGTTTTAATTGCATTGAACAGTTGATCTACAGCTAAATTCCGAGAGAGATGAGAGAGAGAGAGAGAGAGAGAGAGAGAGAGAGAGAGAGAGAGAGAGAGCACTTTATGACATGGTGGGGCGGTTATAATTGCAGAATGGGAGTTCACGATAGTATGAGCTGGAAAAGTGTGTGTGAGTCGTGTGTGTGTGGGTCTAACTTTCTGTGTGATACCTTGACTTCTTTTTTCGGGATACCCATATACCCCCATGTCATGAGACTGCAGTGTTTGTGTAGAGTTCAGCTTTTATAATATATTTTAAGGCCTAGATCAAGCAACGGAAAAAAATACAATAACAGTGTAAGTACTGTACTCTCTCTCTCTCTCTCTCTCTCTCTCTCTCTCTCTCTCTCTCTCTCTCTCTCTCTCTCTCTCTCTCTCTTTCTCTCTCTCTCTCTCTCTCTCTCTCTCTCTCTCTCTCTCCCTCTGTCTCTCTCTGTCTCCCCCCCCACTCTCTCTCTCTCTCTCTCTCTCTCTCTCTCTCTCTCTCTCTCTCTCTCTCTCTCTCTCTCTGGGAAATTTTTTAAAAATTCTTTAGGGCCCTTGCTTTCAATAAGAAGAATAGGCCCACAACCAAACATTCAAGAAAGTACCGCCTGCTTCTGTAGTGTGAGTTAACGTTTCCAGTCCGTGAGTACCTTGATCAATATTTACCTCGCTCACGCTTGACCAGACAACAGAAAACGGAGAGTGACAGCATTCCTCTTGTCAGTTGTCAAGTGTGCTTCGGTCGGGGCAGTTGGTCGGTCAGTCCGTCGTAAGCTCACGTCGTGGCGTAAAGATCAGAAGTTCAAATATCTCACTCGCATTCTTTCTAATAGATTTTGTATCTGTAAGATTTGCAGACAATTTGTCAAGATTTCGGCGGAGTGATCAGCTGGAAACCATGAAGAGTGTAGTAGTAGTTGGGGTTACCTGTTTAGCAACTGTGTTGTGGTTTTATTCTCCTTTCGTGGAAGGTACCGTGAGCCAAGGTAAGTGTACGTTCGTGGTAAGAGCATTACAATTTTCGCTTTTGGGATCTCGTAAGAAAAATTCAAGGTTATTATTATGCACACTTACCAATCGTTGTATATTCGTGATCGAATTATGCAGTATTATTTCAGGTTCGAACACCCCCCCCCCCCCCCCCCAAAAAAAAAAAAAATATTTTAAAAAAATAATAAATATATATATATAAAGATAATAATAAATAAATAAATAAATAAATAAATAGATAAATAGATAAATAAATAAATAAATAAATAAATAAATAAATAACAACAGCAAAAGCGACCAAAGTTGGTGGCCGGATAAAAACAGCACTATGACGTTCTATTAGTTAATACAACCTGACCACCTTTTCCCATCATGAAAACTCGCACACCTCCGATACCCATCATACCAATGAAAGTAGAGATAAATACCAATACAAAAAGAAAGTAAGAGAAAATAAACAAACAAACAAACAAAAGAGGGGGAACTAATAGAAATAACGAAAGGTATGGCCCAAAAGAGAGAGAGGCCTATCAATGGAAATTGCGATAGGTAGCCTAGAAAAAGCGACATGTATAGAGATCAGAAGACGTATAAAGATAGTGATCAATCTAGCTATAAAGATTTGAAGAGACGTAGAGACACAGAGGTTGAGGCAGAGACCGAGGTTCATCATAGAGGTTCATCATAGAGGTTCATCATAGAGGTTCATCATAGAGGTTCATCATAGAGGTTCATCATTGAGGTTCAGAATCGTGTCAATAATGCCACAAAACCTTCACTCAACCCACTCTACTCCACTTTGCTCTACTCAGGACGGAAGGACGGACAGATGGAAATACCTCTACTCTACTCTACTCTACTCTACTCTACTCTACTCTACTCTACTCTACTCTACTCTACTCTACTCTACTCCACTCCACTCTACTCTACTCTACTCTACTCTACTCTACTCTACTCTACTCTACTCTAAGGACGGATGGACGGACGGGTGGAAATACTTACTCTATTCTACTCTATTCTACTGTAGTCTACTGTAGTCTACTTTAGTCTACTCTGTTCTACTCAACTCTACTCCACTCTCGGGACGGATGGACGGACGGGTGGAAATACCTACTCTACTCTACTCTACTCTACTCTACTCTACTCTACTCTACTCTACTCTACTCTACTCTACTCTACTATACTATACTATACTATACTCTACTCTACTCTACTCTACTCTAAGGACGGATGGACGGACGGGTGGAAATACTTACTCTAGTCTACTCTAGTCTACTCTAGTCTACTCTAGTCTACTCTAGTCTACTCTAGTCTACTCTGTTCTACTCTGTTCTACTCTACTCCACTCTCAGGACGGATGGACGGACGGGTGGAAATACTTACTCTATTCTACTCTAGTCTACTCTAGTCTACTCTAGTCTACTCTAGTCTACTCTAGTCTACTCTACTCTACCCCACTCAAGACGGACGAACGGACGAACGGACGAACGGACGGACGGACGGACAAACAGACGGGCACAGTGTATACCTTACTGCTTGGTTGTCTTGTTCTCTTCCTCCAGCTACCTGTGGCCCTAGTAAATTCCAGTGTCACGACGGGTGGTGTATCCACGAGGCATGGCAATGCGATAGAACAGTGGACTGTGCACAGGGAGAGGACGAGGAGGGTTGTGGTAGGTTCTCTTTTCAGGCCTATACATGTACATTTGTGAAGCAGCGTGGTGCAATCATGCTCTCGTCAATTTTTGGGCATAATTGAGTTATTAGTACCATCTTAAAGTTAAAGCGTGTTCATTTGTCTTGCTTTCGATGAAAAAATTACCCATCCATCTTCAATAGAAGCGAAGATATTCATTTTGGATTGAAAGTGAGGGTCACATGGTTTAAGATGTAATATTAGCGAAAAAAAGGCCGCCAAAGCTTGGTAAATTCCAAGGCTGGAGAGTCCATGGGAACTGTAAATTTATATTTTTGTGCCTTTAATCGTTTTCGGTGAAATCCTCAAAGGAATGTGTTTGTAAATGGACATAAAATGTGATGAGCCAAAAAACAAACAAATTAATTAAAATTGCTTAGCAGGGAGAAAACTGCTGTTTTCTTCGATTTCTTCATTATTTTGACGAGAGCCTGATTCCACCACGCTGCCTCACATTTACATATTTTGGGCCCAGGTAGGAAAAGAGGACTGGTGTCTATGGTGTAGCGGTTAGACCCTTCGCTGTTGCCCGCAATAGAACAGCGTTCGATTCCACGAGGAGAAAACATTTTCACCAAATATTGGTCTTTCTGCAGGGTTGTATCACTCTCAGCCCGGGTTGGCTCTATCTGGCAGCTGAGCCTAGTCCTATATAAATGGAAACATCTCAATGGCTACCAAATTAAAAACTTCTGAAAGGCTATAATGTGGTCAACTCTTTTATAGGCTGTGACCGCTGCACGATCACTAAAGACTGAAAATAAAACAGAAGCAACAGGAATGTGGTTTCCAGGGAGACTGTTGATGATTTCTAGGAAGGAAAAGAAATCAAATGAGGCAGTATTTGAAGATGCCCACACCACGTAGGGCCACTCGTTGAGTAAAACAATTAGGAAGAGACAGAATCGGTTTCTGTAACACTTGAATAAAGACATACGGTCCTTGAACATCTAGCTTTCACTGATAAAACAGAAGGCAAATTAAGCAAGCGAAGACCCACAGCAACTTACTTGATTTGGAGAGCCTAAACAGATGGATTACGAGGATAGAACAGGATAGTGTAGCTTTCTGAGAGCATCCGAGCGAAGTACTGAATTGTGGAGCATTTTATATTGTCAATATCTGTCTCACGCAGATCTAGCATTTGATGATACATTATGTTATCTATCTTTCTGCTGGGAAGTTGTACCCTCTCAGCCCGGGTTGGCACTGATCATCAGGGTTAATTAGGCAGCTCCTCACCTCTTGAATTCTCAAAATAATGTCTGTCTGTCTGTCTGTCTGTCTGTCTGTCTGTCTGTCTGTCTGTCTCTCTCTCTCTCTCTCTCTCTCTCTCTCTCTCTCTCTCTCTCTCTCTTTCTTTCTCTCTGTCTCTCTCTCTCTGTGTGTCTCTCTCTCTGTGTCTCTCTCTCTGTGTCTCTATTTCTGTGTGTCTCTCTCTCTGTCTCTTTCTGTGTGTGTCTC